TATATATATATATATATATATATATATATATATATATATATAAAGATATATAAATATATATATATAAAGATATATAAATATATATATATATATATATATATATATATATATATATATATATATATATATATATATATATATATATATATATATATATATATATATATATATATATATATATATATATATATATATAAACGTGTGACTATAAATATGAAACAAAAATTAACTAAAAATTCTGCCAAGAAGTCTGTAGGTTGGGTATACTCCATCCCTTGTGCAGTTGTGATAACTTTTATATAGGACAAACTGGAAAATCTCTTAAGACCGGAATTAAACAACATAAATATTCAATATCTAGTGGACAAGATTCCAGTGTTTTGTTCATTCATGTCAGGGATTCAAGATATTCTGTAGTTTGGACTAATGATAAAGAATTACTTTCCAGTAATTCTTCACTTCTAAATATTGTGGGATCATCTCTTATCAAGCATGATGCACAACTTATTTAAAAAAAAACATTTTTGTGTTGTAGATTCTAGAATCTAGAATATTCTTCATAACCTTAAAGGTCAAAATGTATTTTTCTCAAAAAATACAGTGTTCTTTGTCAGGTCAATAATTTAACTTCATGTTGGTTATATGTATGTGTGGGTTAGGTTTGTGCGGGATCTGTTTGTGTGAAGTGTTGTCACTTCTCCGATTGAAATGTTACATTAGTTTCTACCATATGAATTGTTCTTCTCTTGCCTTTTCTTTATATTCCTCTGAAGATTTGTAAACACATGAAAGCGCTCAGGTTTTATTTCCCTTGTTCAGTGTGGCAATTTTTTTTATATTTGCAATCACACGTTGTATTGTGATTTCTTCTATATATATAAGAAGGTCGCTTTGATGGCTGAGCTGTGAACTGTGTCAAGTTAAAAGATGAAATGAACACCAGCTGTGCTCTGAGGTCTCTTTCTCGTGATGCACGTGGGGTACACGCATAACCTAACTGAACACTAAATAAAAGACCTAGCGAAGAGGATTTAGTTCTATGCTATAGACGTCATATGCTGAGGATTTGGCGCACTTATACACACACAGCTGGTACACTGGTACACATACAGCTATTACACTGGTACACATACAGCTGGTACACTGGTACACACACAGCTGGTGTACTGGAACACATACAGCTGGTCCGCTGGTACATACACAGTTGGTACACTTGTACACACATAGCTGGTCCACTGGTACACACACAGCTGGTCCACTGGTACACACACAGCTGGTCCACTAGTGCACGCACAGCTGGTACAGTTGTACACACACAGCTGGTACACTGGTACACACACAGCTGGTGCACTGGTACACATACAGCTGGTCCACTGGTACATACACAGTTTGTACACACACAGTTGGTCCACTGGTACATATACTGCTGGTACACTGGTACACACACAGCTGGTGTACTGGCACACATACAGCTGGTCCGCTGGTACATACACAGCTGGTACACTTGTACACACATAGCTGGTCCACTGGTACACACACACAGCTGGTCCACTGGTACACACACAGTTGGTCCACTGGTACACACACAGCTGGTCCACTGGTACACACACAGCTGGTCCACTGGTACACACACAGCTGGTACACTTGTACACACACAGCTGGTACATTGGTACACACACAGCTGGTGCACTGGTACACATAAAGCTGGTCCACTGGTACATACACAGTTTGTACACACACAGTTGGCCCACTGGTACATACACTGCTGGTACACTTGTACACACACAGCTGGTACACTCGTACACACATAGCTGGTCCACTGGTACACACAGCTGGTTCATTGGTACGCACACAGCTGGTCCACTGGTACACACACACAGCTGGTCCACTAGTACACGCACAGCTGGTTCACTGGTACACATACAGCTGGTTCACTTGTACATACACAGTTTGTACACACACAATTGGTTCACTGGAACATACACAGCTGGTACACTTGTACACACACAGTTGATACACTTGTACACACACAGCTGGTCCACTGGTACATACACAGACTAAGTTTCAGTGTAACACTGGTTCGTCTCTTCCTCAGGTCAGGAGCTGTTGCAATGTGAGTTTGAGGAGAGTTTGTGTGGATGGTCACAACCCAGCACTGAGAGTGGGTACTCCTGGGTCCTGGCCAGAGCCTCGCCACACGCACGACGCACAGGACCCATTACTGGTAAACTTACAACCTCCTTATGCCACGCTCTCTCTCTCTCTCTCTCTCTCTCTCTCTCTCTCTCTCTCTCTCTCTCTCTCTCTCTCTCTCTCTCTCTCTCTTCTCTCTCTCTCTCTCTCTCTCTCTCTCTCTCTCTCTCTCTCTCTCTCTTTCTCTCTCTCCTTTCTTTATCGTCCTCGGTTAAACTATTTCTTTGTCCATTTGTTGGCTTTTTATTACCCTTACCTGTCTGTGTATTAGTTGTCTATGATTGAACTGGCTATATTTTAGTTGTCTGTGTCTCAGACTGTTTTTAGTGTTTGTGTCTCGCATTATCTCTATCTTTATGCTCTCCATCCGTTGATTTTTTCCATTCTCCTCTGCCTTCCATGGATGTTTTTCTCACTTCTTGTTGACTAGATTGTTAAATATTTTTCTCTGTATACTTTGCATATCCATTATATTATTTGTATGTGTATCACTTTGTATTTGTCTTTGCTTAATCTTTTGACATTTGATAATCTCATTGTTTTGTTATTTTAGATCGCTGTATCTCCCATTCGTATCATTCCTATTTATGTATCCCTCTACATTGCTTCCCCTATGTCTCACCAACCTTCTTCTCATCTTCTGCTTGCCACCCGATACCTACGTCTCATTTATCCACAAGCTTTTTCTTTTATCTAAGGAAAAGAGTAAATAATAACAGAGTGGAGAGTCAGGTAGGTGGTTAAGTTAGGTAAGATTTGTCAGGAAACAAGGCAAGTGTCTTCTGACTCGGGTTTAGTCATATGATGACCCACACCTGGAACTTTTGGTTATCTGCCCTAGGTCTTCAGCTGGCTTATAAATACAGATGTACACAAGTTATGATACAGGTGTACACAGTGTTCCTCCTACAGGTTATCCTGACGTGGCTGGCTCAGGTTTCATCTTCGCTGACTCTCTACACGGCTCTGAGGGAAGCACCGCTGACCTGCTAAGCCCTCCACTCCTCCTGCCGGAGGGACCAGATCCATCCCTCTGCTTCAGGTGGGAGTCGAAAGATAAAAAAAAAAAATCACGTGGATCAGTGGTAGATTAGTACATCAGTGGTAGATTAGTATATCAGTAGTAGATCAGTAGATTACTGGCGAATCAGCACACCAAAGTATGGAAGTTCGCACACAACCTAAAGAACCTTGTCATTAAGTCTCGGGCGACCCGAGACTTAATTAGGGGAAAACTCATTTATATATAATTAGATTCAGAGTTATATTGCCAGGTTTAATATTGTAGGTTAATATTTTTCCACGGTCAGTAATCCAAAGTGTTGTTGTATATCACGTCTGGCTGTTTCCACACAAACATCACCTCTGACAACATCGGAAGAAGGTAAACTTCACCTTCCACCGTGACAACACATGCTTGTTAAAAACCTGTGTCGTGAAACATTTTTAGGTTGCTGGGAAGCATCCGCTGACAAGTTCTTTCCAGATGTGTTGCAAGTCTTGCAGCGAGGCAACACTCCTTTCCCCCTCCCAGGATGCCACCCACAACAGTTAGCTTCCACATAATGAATTATGTACTATTAGGTGATCAGGGGCAATGGGATAAAGAGCACTTGTCCGTCCACACGTCTCGCCCAGTCTAAGAATCGAAACCATGTACTTTTGATTTTGAGAAGAACACAAACCCACTGAGCTGCTGATCCATAATTGTACACTCTTGTTATTATTATAAATATTAGTAATACAGTTTTTACACTCTGAAGGAAGGGTGTTAATGTTGCAGTTTTATAACTGTAATGTAAAGGAGCCTTCTTGCAAGACAGTGATGGAGTGAATGATGGTGAATTTTTTTCTTCCTCGGGCCACCCTGCCTTGGTGGGAATCGGCCAGTGTGTTAATAAAAAAATATTTAATAATAATAATAATAATAATAATAATGAAATTATTATTATTATTATTATTATTATTATTATTATTATTATTATTATTATTATTATTATTATTATTATTATTATTATTATTAATCAACAATTATACTACGACACTTTATTACACAGCATAACACATTACAACACATACATAACACACCACATCACACAACATAACACATTACAACACACACGACACCACAACATAACACAACATAGCACACTATAACACAACATAACACATTATAATACAACATAACACACTATAATACAACATAGCACAATATAACACACTATAACACAACATAACACACTGTAACACAACATAACACACTGTAACACAGCATAACACACTATAATACAACAAAACACTGTAATGCAACATGGCACACTATAATATAGCATAACACACTATAATATAGCATAACACACTATAATACAGCATAACACACTATAATATAGCATAACACACTATAATATAGCATAACACACTATAATATAGCATAACACACTATAATACAGCATAACACACTATAATACAGCATAACACACTATAATATAGCATAACACACTATAATATAGCATAACACACTATCATACAGCATAACACACTATAATATAGCATAACACACTATAACACACTAACACAACACATTATAACACAACAGAACACACTGTAACACACTAACACAACACATTATAACACAACAGAACACACTGTAACACACTAACACAACACATTATAACACAACAGAACACACTGTAACACACTAACACAACACATTATAACACAACAGAACACACTGTAACACACTAACACAACACATTATAACACAACAGAACACACTATAACACACTAACACAACACATTATAACACAACAGAACACACTGTAACACAAGTCTGAAGTATCACCGTTGTGCTGCGTTTACACTTGAGTTGCCGCAACAATACTTTTGCGTTACAGGTTCTCTGTCTTCCTCTTCGGCGCTCACGTGGCCAAGGTGTCAGTCCACACCTACCAGCTGCTTCCCGACGCCACCACCCACACCGCTGAGATCTTCCACGCCGTGGGCGGCAAGGGCCTCAGCTGGATGCCTGTGGGAGTGACGGTGGGGCGTGAGGACCTGGCCGATGCCAGAGTGCCCTTGGTTCTCGCAGTTCGAGCCACTCGTGGACCGGGAACAGAGGCCGACATTGCTCTGGACCACGTAGCTGTCCTGGCAGGTTCCTGCCACCTGCAACCGGTTCTCGATCCGTACGTCACCCTCAACGCGTCCCTCAATTACTCGGACGCCCAAGCGCTGTCTGCTGGGGTGGCCCTCACGCCCATGGCCCCGCCAACGGAGGTCCAGGACACTGCCGAGCCCTGGGGGCCCTCGCCGGACCCGTGTGGGGCCCTGGGATCGTGTATGGCGTGTGTGGCGTGGGAGTCGGGCGTGGAGGAAGAGGAGGTGGAAGAGGCAGTTGCGTGTACCTGGTGTGACCTGACGCAGACCTGTGTGTATAGTAAGAGCCCAGCAGCTGCAGCATGCCCACACCACCTCACCGTCCACCACAACACCACGGTGTGTGTACTCACCTAATTGTACTCACCTAATTGTACTCACTTAATTGTGGTTGCAGGGGTCGAGACTCAGCTCCTGGCCCCGCCTCTTCACTGATCGCTACTAGGTCCTCTCTCTCTCTGCTTCCTGAGCTTTGTCATACCTCTTCTTAATACTATGTATGGTTCCTGCCTCCACTACATCACTTGCTAGGCTATTCCACTTCCTGACGACTCTATGACTGAAGAAATACTTCCTAACGTCCTTGTGACTCTTCTGAGTCTTCAGCTTCCAGTTGTGACCCCTTGTTCCTGTGTCCCCTATCTGGAACATCCTGTCTCTGTCCACCTTGTCTATTCCCCGCAGTATCCTGTCTGTCGTTATCATGTCTCCCCTGACCCTTCTGTCCTCCAGTGTCGTCAGTCCGATTTCCCTCAACCTAACCTAACCTAACCTGCGTGTGTGTGTGTGTGTGTGTGTGTGTGTGTGTGTGTGTGTGTGTGTGTTTACTAGCTTTAGTTCCCTTCACTACTTGCTTCTATGTTATCCTTTCATCTGTGTCTCACCTGTCCTCTGATTTTATCAGTACTCATGACAGAAAGAACTTGTCATCACTCCCTTCGTGTTTCCTCCCTTCTTTCTACTCTCCCTTTCCCTCCCTCTCATTCCTCTTTTCCTCTTACTCCTTCCCTTCTGATCCCTTCTCCTCTGGTTTCCTTCCCTTCCGCTAATTTCATTCCCCCCTCTCTGAACTCATCTGCTCCTCTCTGATCCCCTTCCCGTCTAACCCCATCCCCTTTGATTCCCTTCCCCTCCCTTTTAGCTAAAGGACCTCTCCTCTCACTTTTCTTTATCACTTTTCTTTCCTCTTTTTATCAGCCCTACTACATCCTCTCTTGTTTTCTTCGTACATAAATGTAGCTACGAGACATTATTGCTCCTAATAAACACTACAATATCTTGCACATCTAATCAGATTTCACATAACCATGAAATAACAAAACACTAATAAACCATACACTAATAAACCTTGGACGTAGTTGCGTAAATATATTCCCAAGCATCTTTGTCATGATCCGGGTGTATCTACTTCTCCTGCAGAAGTCGCAGCAGCGGCGGGGTCCTGGGTGGTGCCCACAGCTGGTGCTACGTCAGGAAAGGCAGGTGTTGGTGAGTGCAGGATCCTCGCCCATCCTTACCTTCCCAGTCCACAACATCCAGGTCAGTCAAAATGTGCCTATTTTCTGTCTAATACAACAATTTCCGCATATTCTTCTTTAAGGGACACGTAAGTTTCCCTGTCTTCTCATATCATGTTCATTTTCCCACTATAATCTACTTTGTCCATAATTACTATCACAATTGCTTTGTCTGTTTCGTAAAGTCCAGGATCTTTCCTTAATTCATGGTATAACTTCACCTAACGAAAGCAAACAGAGTAAATGCGATAGTAATTATAGACAAGGTAGATTATAGTGGAAAATTGAACATGTTATTAGAAGACAAAGGAAGTTGCGTGGCTCTTAATGCATTGCTCTGGGGCAGGGGTTCTTAACTTGGTGTATCCAAACCCCTTGGGGGCATGAGAACCAAATAATGGGGGTATGGGAACCAAATAATGGGGTATGGGAACCAAATAACGGGGTATGGGAACCAAATAAAAAAAAGTAAGTTGTTAGTTTAGAATGAACAATCAGCTGTTGTGCTGCTGGCTGTCCATACGTACAGTAAAACCGATCTATTGACATCTTTTTGAAGTCACTCTGGTACCTAATTAAACCGGTGATAATGATGATTTCGACAGACTGGTGAAAGGGGTGTGTGGACATATTGGGCAATCCATTGGGGTTTGTATCGTAAAAAGGTTAAGAATCCTTGTTCTAGATATTATAATAAGAAGCAGTTCCTGTAGCACCACGCGTCGCACATATCATGTTGCCTCTAGGAAACATGTTTATATCTTTTCACTTTAGAGTTTTCCAAAAGCATTGAATAAAATTTCTTTCTCTCTCTCTCTCTCTCTCTCTCTCTCTCTCTCTCTCTCTCTCTCTCTCTCTCTCTCTCTCTCTCTCTCTCTCTCTCTCTCTCTCTCTCTCTCTCTTTTCCTCTCGATTTTCACTTGGCTCTTTCTCTTTCCAGCCCTTGCAGACAGAAAGTGGCTGGATCTGTCTATTTGAACCTCTGGAAGATGAGGCTGGTGATAACCAGGAAACAGGAGCAGAAGAGACGAGAGAACTCACGGAGGAAGACGAGAAGAAGGAAAGGCAGAAAAAGGAGGAAGTAGACGAAGAAGAAGAGGCCAAGGAAGCACTGGAGAAGAAACTGAAAGCGGAGGAAGACTTCGACTTCAAGAAGAAAAAGGCGGAAATGAAAAGAACAAGGAAAGGGTGGAAGGTGACACGTGAGGGCAGCCTGCGTCTACCTGGCCAGTTTCAGGTAGGTTGAGAACCTGTAGAGGTGAGTTGGAAACCTTCACACAAGTTAGTTAAGGAGGTGCCTTCATGGGTGAGTTAAGGACCTGCATAGGTGAGTACGGTGCCTTCATGTGTGAGTTATGGACCTGCATAAGTGAGTACGGTGCCTTCATATGTGAGTTAAGGACCTGCATAGGTGAGTATGGCGCCTTCGTAGGTGAATTAAGGACCTGCACAGTTGAGAATCTTTACAAGTTAATAAAGAACCTGCATCTTCACAGGTGAGTTAAGGACTCACACCTTCACAGGTGAGTTGATGACATTCACAGGCAAGTTCAAGATCTTCATAGGTTAATTGAGGACCTAAATCGGGAGTTCCCTCTTTTCTGGCTGCTAACTAATCCCTCACTTGTCTGTGTAATAGCCAGTTTTAGGCTTAGTATCAAGTATCTCTGGTAGTTTGGCAAACACACAGATGATGAGCAAACTATACCACGGGCGGGGATAGAACCCGCGATCAGAGAGTCATGGAGAGTCTGAAGTTTAATGACTCTCTGATCGCGGGATCTATCCCCGCCTGTGGTATGGTTTGTTTACAACCGTGTCATTACGATTTCGTGAGACATGATGAGCAAACTAAATGCAGAGAATGTTGTCAACCTTATATAGCCACTTTCTTCAACAGTATGTACCTGAGTGTCCTCTTAATGAGGAATATAGAGATAGACAGCATAGTAATCCATGCGTTGTATCACTATATCTTATTAACGAAAATAAGATAATAGACTTTTTTGCAAATAGCCAAAATTTGCTTGCAACATGTGAACTATATATTGTAAATTTATATCCAGATATATTTATGTTAACCCTTTCAGAACCTGGGTTTTTTTCGACTTTTTGTGTATCTATATTTCTTAGGCTACAGTCCACAGGTCGAATATACAGTAAACTAACCACATTGATGACACAATCTAAATCTCTCTCGAGTACCTGACTGTCACAAAATATAAATATCTGTCACACAGCCGTCCCTGGTTATCTTATAGGCCTACTATCAACTCAGCACTCTGCCACCCTAAATTATTTACAAAACTGAGGCTTTTTTTATTATTTTTTTTTTAAATATATGCCTTACTCACCCAGCCTTTCTTAAATTAATCGGTCATGAACTCAGTTTAAGTCGTAATGAACGAATGTTGATAAATAAACGGAGCCTCTTGTCCACCCTTCTGTTTATCAGTCATGAATATTGGTTACACACTGGACTTACACAGTTGAGTTATACAGTGGGGTTACACAGTGGGGTTACACAGTGGGTTTCACAGTGGAGTTACACAGTTGAGTTATACACTGGGGTCACACAGTGGGTTACACAGTGGGTTACACAGTGGGGTTACACAGTGGGTTACACAGTGGGGTTACACAGTGGGTTACACAGTGGGGTTACACAGTGGGTTACACAGTGGGGCTACACAGTGGGGTTTTACAGTGGGTTACACTGGGGTTACACAGTGGGTTACACAATGGGTTACACAGTGGGGTTACACAGTGGGGTTACACAGTGGGTTACACAGTGGGGTTACACAGTGGGGTTTCACAGTAGGTTACACAGTGGGTTACACAGTGGGGTTACACAGTGGGTTACACAGCGGGGTTACGCAGTGGGTTACACAGTGGGGTTACACAGTGGGGTTCCACAGTGGGTTACACAGTGGGGTTACACAGTTGAGTTATACAGTGGGGTTACACAGTTGAGTTACACAGTGGGGTTATACAGTGGGGGTTACACAGTGGAGTTATGTCCTAATTACAAAATGGAGTTATGTCCTAGTTACACAGTGGAGTTATGCCCTAGTTACACAGTGGAGTTATGTCCTAGTTACACAGTGGAGTTGTGTCCTAGTTACACAGTGGAGTTATGTCCTAGTTACACAGTGGAGTTATGTCTTAGTTACACAGTGGAGTTATGTCTTAGTTACACAGTGGAGTTATGTCCTAGTTACACAGTGGAGTTGTGTCCTAGTTACACAGTGGAGTTATGTCCTAGTTACACAGTGGAGTTATGTCCTAGTTACACAGTGGAGTTATGTCCTAGTTACACAGTGGAGTTATGTCCTAGTTACACAGTGGAGTTATGTCCTAGTTACACAGTGGAGTTATGTCCTAGTTACACAGTGGAGTTATGTCCTAGTTACACAGTGGAGTTATGTCCTAGTTACACAGTGGAGTTATGTCCTAGTTACACAGTGGAGTTATGTCCTAGTTACACAGTGGAGTTATGTCCTAGTTACACAGTGGAGATATGTCCTAGTTACACAGTGGAGTTATGTCCTAGTTACACAGTGGAGTTATGTCTTAGTTACACAGTGGAGTTATGTCCTAGTTACACAGTGGAGTTATGTCCTAGTTACACAGTGGAGTTATGTCTTAGTTACACAGTGGAGTTATGTCCTAGTTACACAGTGGAGTTATGTCTTAGTTACACAGTGGAGTTATGTCCTAGTTACACAGTGGAGTTATGTCCTAGTTACACAGTGGAGTTATGTCCTAGTTACACAGTGGAGTTATGTCTTAGTTACACAGTGGAGTTATGTCCTAGTTACACAGTGGAGTTATGTCTTAGTTACACAGTGGAGTTATGTCCTAGTTACACAGTGGAGTTATGTCCTAGTTACACAGTGGAGTTATGTCCTAGTTACACAGTGGAGTTATGTCCTAGTTACACAGTGGAGTTATGCCCTAGTTACACAATGGAGTTATGTCCTAGTTACACAGTGGAGTTATGTCCTAGTTACACAGTGGAGTTATGTCCTAGTTACACAGTGGAGTTATGTCCTAGTTACACAGTGGAGTTATGTCCTAGTTACACAGTGGAGTTATGTCCTAGTTACACAGTGGAGTTATGCCCTAGTTACACAATGGAGTTATGTCCTAGTTACACAGTGGAGTTATGTCCTAGTTACACAGTGGAGTTATGCCCTAGTTACACAATGGAGTTATGTCCTAGTTACACAGTGGAGTTATGTCCTAGTGTTTGCTTATGTATCTTTCTCAACCAACTTGTCGGTAGTTATTACTCACGTTTATACCAAATGTTAACACATTAGAAGAATGGAATGTTTTTTTTAAACTTAATAGAAGTGAGAGTGATGGTGAGTCAGGAACTGTCCTGAGGTAGATGAATATTATTCTTGATTCTGTCAGAATCACACAGGTGAAATGCTGTATCATTTTGTCTTTGTTTTGGCGGGTTAATAACGTGCTGCTCTAATATTTAACTCCAGTTATGGTATAAACCTTGGTAATAAATACCGACAAGTTGGTTTAGAAAGACACGTAAGCAAACACTATGAAATATTTATTAGAAAACGTTTCGGTCCTGGGACCTTGATCACTTCTAACATACAGGTGACCTTCTCCCGAATTTCCAACCTGAATGTCAAAAACAAAAGCATGGCTTCCTTCGATGTCACAGCCTTCTTCACCAACGTTCCTACTGACGCTGCAGTCAACATTCTGAGACAGAGGCTCACTGAAAACCACGACCTCCCTTTACCTCTTCTAGATTTCATCAATCTAGTGGAACTTTGTGTTAATTTCAACTTCTTCAAGTATCAGGACAACTGTTACAAACAGTGCTTTGGGATGGCAATGGGCAGCCCGCTCAGTGCTGTGCTTGCCAACCTCTTCATGGAAAACCTGGAGACAGAGAAATTCAGCAGCCTCATTCCTAACACCGTTACCTGGCTAAGATACGTTGATGATGTATTTGTTTTCTATCCGAGACGTCTCAATATCCAGGCCCTTCTCAACAAGATCAATGCAGTTGAACCATCAATAAAGTTTACACTTGAACTCGAAAATGCTGGCAAACTTCCTTTCCTCGACGTTCTACTGTGCAGATCTCCCGACAGTGACAAACTTCTCTTCAAAGTGTAAAGAAAACGAACCAACAAGGACGATCTTATACACTTTTATTCACACCAAGACACCCGCACTAAGAGAGGAGTCCTCATTGGCTTTTTCTTGAGAGTTCTTCGCATCTCCAGCCCTTGTTTTCTAGAAGAAGAATGCACTTACATAACACAAGCCTTTACACGTCTTCAGTTCCCATCTTTCTTCATCCGAGATTGCAGACTCAAGGCACAAGCTATCCTCAACAAACCGCCCATGGAACAGCCCCCTAAGCAGTTCATAGTACTCCCATGTGGTGATGTTGCCACGAATACTCGCCGGGCACTTGCTATGAGTAACATCAACGTTTCCACCATAAACACATCATCTATCAAAGACCTCACTACGAAACGCAGCCCCACACCTCTAACTTCTACAGCAGGCGTCTACACTATCCCCTGTGGGTTCTGTCCCAAGAAATATGTAGGCGAGACAGGCAGAGACCTTGCAGTCCGCCTGAATGAGCATCGAAATGCCTCTAACAGAGACGATGTAAGGTACGCCTGTGTCCTCCACAGAGACTCCACGGGGCATTTGATGAACTGGAATGAGGCACAACTCGTTCTCACCGAACCAGACCTCAGACGCCGACGGTGCCTAGAAGCCTCACTAATCGCCGTCACCGACACTATAGAACGCAACACTGGAAACTACAAAATTTCAAAAACATTGGCATACATGATACTTAAGTAGCACCAACCCAACAACACAGGAGTCACATGATTTCATTGTCTACCCGTCCTCGTCATAGGTAGAGGTTGTTTTGATAAGGACCTGCCTCTCATGGGCCAGTAGGCCTTCTACAGTGTTCCTCCATTCTTATGTTCTTATGACATTCCTCAGGGTCGAGTATTTGACATGGGCGGCGGTGTTGGCACTGGCGTGGGCATCACTACAGGTGTGGGTGTGGGATCCATCAGGTGCGGAGACGGTGTGACAGAGTTGCGCCCCTCCCCTGCACGCCCATACGCCCACTACACAGTGAAGCTCCTGACTCCTGCTGGCGCTCTGCTGGACAACCCTGCTGACGTCAGATGTAAGTACCTGCTGTCTCTGCTTCCTTCTACACCATTACAACAAAAAATGTGTATTTTTTTAGAAATAAGCAGAAAAAGTGTTGGAAAGAACACTTATTTACACTTCAGGACATATATTAAAGGAAACGTTTCGCCAGGAGAGGCAAAACGTTTCCTCGAATAAATGTCCTGGGTCTTTTTCCACATCTTGTCTGTATCACGGCACTATTTTTTAGAAAAAGTGATGCTTTCGTAAAGAATCTTAGAAGTGACTCGTGAAAAATTAGGGTTGAAATGATTACCTTTTCTAATGATTGTCTGAAGGATGCATGACGGGACTCAGAGAGCAAGAGTAAGGTAAGGAGATATGGAGATAGTAAACTGGAATAATGCAGTGTGTAGTAGTAGTAGTAGTAGTAGTAGTAGTAGCAGCAGCATCAGTAATAGTTGCAGTAGTAGCAACCTTTATTAAGAGCATCTGGAATATATTAAATTTTAGCTGAGGTGGCCATGTTTTGTACCCCAGATGTTGTTTACACTTTATAAATTTCGCTATTTTCACAAGTAGGGCTTTAAAATTACATTTTTTAGGCTTGGCTATTCTGTGTAAAGCAAAGAAGGTGGCAGGAGTATATTGGTGGCTGCAGAGTAAGTCAAGTATAAAAATTTAAGGGTATAAATGAGGAATGTATTAGCCTTGTCAGGGGTCGGAGGGAGCAACATTGTTTACTTAATCGAGTTGTATTTGTTTTGAAGGATAATTATAAGTTGGAAATGCTCTCTGGTATTCTTAGTATGGTTCGGAATAAAATTTAAATGATTAAAAAGTGAGGTTAGAGATATAATTATGATTTTATAATATAAGGCAGAAACCTCTTGGATCTAAAATATAGCCCAGATTTTTTGTCTAGAGAGGAGGCCTGTAATTACCTGTTTAGTGTTATGAATTTTCGTGTAAATAAAAATTTAGGGAGAGACTATTTTGCGCCAGTGTGCTACAAGCCATGATCGAGGGTGGATGTGGCCCTACTTGCTCTGAATAGGAACATTTATCTCGGCCTGGGACTGATATGTAAAGATATTTTTTTGTAATCTTAGAGGATAATACGTATAGAGTTTGTGAACCATTGAGAAGCAGACTAGAGAACTCCTGAAGCTTCAGGCTGAGAGATAAGTATGTACACTATGAAAAAGATGTAAGATAAGGAGGTATGGTGATTCTTGCAGTCACGGTGCTGTGACTTGTTGAATAATGTTGGTTCTTGCTGACAGTGGTGGTGTACGGGTGTGATCTCCTTGCTTCCTCCTGCCCCTCCTGCGCCGCCGTCAACTCTACCTTCTCCTGTGGGTGGTGCCTGGCCACCCGTTCCTGCACTACCCACGCCCACTGCCTCGGAACCTCCTGGATAGGCCCTGGGAGATCATGCGACTCGGAGGAGAACCTGAAAAGCCTCGGGGAACCCTTATCGGAGCCTCGGCTGGGCCTGGGAGAAGTACTTCAGCCGCTGGACGAAGACGAGGAACACAAGCTTCACAAGAACGATCTGAGTGAGTTGTTCTGAGGGTGGGATTGTTCACCTGAGGGTGGCCTTGTTCACCTGAGGGTGGATTGCTCACCTGAGGGTGGGGCTGTTCACCTGAGGGTGGGATTGTTCACCTGAGGGTGGGGTTGTTCACCTGAGGGTGGGATTGTTCACCTGAGGGTGGGATTGTTCACCTGAGGGTGGGATTGTTCACCTGAGGGTGGGGTTGTTCACCTGAGGGTGGGATTGTTCACCTGAGGGTGGATTGCTCACCTGACGGTGGGCTTGTTCACCTGAGGGTGGATTGCTTACCTGAGGGTGGGGTTGTTCACCTGAGGGTGGAATTGTTCACCTGAGGGTGGGGTTGTTCACCTGAGGGTGGATTGCTTACCTGAGGGTGGGGTTGTTCACCTGAGGGTGGAATTGTTCACCTGAGGGTGGGGTTGTTCACCTGAGGGTGGGATTGTTCACCTGAGGGTGGGATTGTTCACCTGAGGGTAGGCTTGTTCACCTGAGGGTGGGGTTGTTCACCTGAGGGTGGGATTGTTCACCTGAGGGTGGGGTTGTTCACCTGAGGGTGGGATTGTTCACCTGAGGGTGGGATTGTTCACCTGAGGGTGGATTGCTCACCTGAGGATGGGGTTGTTCACCTGAGGGTGGGATTGTTCACCTGAGGGTGGAATTGTTCACCTGAGGGTGGGGTTGTTCACCTGAGGGTGGGATTGATCACCTGAGGGTGGGATTGTTCACCTGAGGGTAGGCTTGTTCACCTGAGGGTGGGGTTGTTCACCTGAGGGTGGGATTGTTCACCTGAGGGTGGGGTTGTTCACCTGAGGGTGAGATTGTTCACCTGAGGGTGGGATTGTTCACCTGAGGGTGGATTGCTCACCTGAGGATGGGGTTGTTCACCTGAGGGTGGGATTGTTCACCTGAGGGTGGGGTTCACCTGAGGGTGGGATTGTTCACCTGAGGATGGGATTGTTCACCTGAGGGTGGGGTTGTTCACCTGAGGGTGGGGTTGTTCACCTGAGGGTGGGATTGTTCACCTGAGGGTGGGGTTCACCTGAGGGTGGGATTGTTCACCTGAGGATGGGATTGTTCACCTGAGGATGGGATTGTTCACCTGAGGGTGGGGTTGTTCACCTGAGGGTGGGATTGTTCACCTGAGAGTGGGATTGTTCACCTGAGGATGGGATTGTTCACCTGAGGGTGGGGTTGTTCACCTGAGGGTGGGATTGTTCATCTGAGGGTGGAATGTTCACCTGAGGGTGGGGTTGTTCACCTGAGGGTGGGATTGTTCACCTGAGGGTGGGGTTGTTCACCTGAGGGTGGGATTGTTCACCTGAGGGTGAGGTTGTCCTCCTGAGGATGAGGTTGTCCTCCTGAGGATGAGGTTGTCCTCCTGAGGGTGAGGTTGTCCTCCTGAGGGTGAGGTTGTCCTCCTGAGGGTGAGGTTGTCCTCCTGAGGGTGAGGTTGTCCTCCTGAGGGTGGGGTTGTTCTCCTGAGGGTGAGGTTGTCCTCCTGAGGATGAGGTTGTCCTCCTGAGGGTGAGGTTGTCCTCCTGAGGGTGAGGTTGTCCTCCTGAGGGTGAGGTTGTCCTCCTGAGGGTGGGGTTGTCCTCCTGAGGGTGAGGTTGTCCTCCTGATCGTGAGGTTGTCCTCCTGAGGGTGAGGTTGTCCTCCTGAGCGTGAGGTTGTCCTCCTGAGCGTGAGGTTGTCCTCCTGAGGGTGAGGTTGTCCTCCTGAGCGTGAGGTTGTCCTCCTGAGGGTGAGGTTGTCCTCCTGAGGGTGGCGAATTTGTATAAACACTCTTGTGTGTGTATACATTTATAAGATCGTTAACATCACTAGTAACTAAGACTTGGATCTCTGAAGACTGTTAACATCACTAGTAACTAAGACTTGGATCTCTGAAGACTGTTAACATCACTAGTAACTAAGACTTGGATCTCTGAAGACTGTTAACATCACTAGTAACTAAGACCTGGATCTCTGAAGACTGTTAACATCATTAGTAACTAAGACTTGGATTTCTGAAGACTGTTAACATCACTAGTAACTAAGACCTGGATCTCTGAAGACTGTTAACATCATTAGTAACTAAGACTTGGATCTCTGAAGACTGTTAACATCACTAGTAACTAAGATTTGGATCCGTCATGACTGCTCTGCATGACATCTGTGTCATGAAGCTTCGATACTGAATCTGAATTCTTGTTACCAGTGTCTTTCGTCTCATATACTTGTAACATTTTGTACGGTGTCGCAAACACTCAGGTATTTAACCCATCATTCCATGTGCTGAATAACACATACGGTTTTATTACGTCACATAAATATAGATACAATATGTCTTCCTTCACATGCAGCTGGCTTCGATAACCTGGAAAGCTTCCTTGAAGGACATGACCAGTCTGACGATGTGGACGTGTTAGGAGACGAGGAGGAGGAAGGAGGAGACGAAGAAGACATGGGCGACGCCACAGAGAGGAGACTGGGCGAGGAAGGGAAGAGAAACAAAAAGAAAAGAGGGAATAAGATCAAAAAAGCCGAGGGAGGGCCTGGTCGGGCAGAAGATGCTGTCCTGGTCACAACTCCTGCAGATCATGTTGACACCATGGTCAATGACTCGAGCGCCAGGAAGCCTGGTAAGTGACGGAAGGAGTGCAAGGAGAGAATATATTTTAACAAGAATTAGATACATCGGCAGTGTTCTGCTTCCCTATATGTTAGTTACACAGTGGAAATAAAAGATAGCTATGTTTCCCTGTTACGTTTCATTACACAGGATGAGGCTGAGGCTGAGGCTGAGGCTGAGGCTGAGAGACTTCAGGTCAACGAGGATATTGTTATGTATTCCTGTAAGATTTTAGCAGCTACGGGAAGAGAGAGAGAGGAGAGGGAGGAGAGGCTTAAAAGAAGGGAGGCTTGGAGAAGGGAGAAGGAAATTGAGAGGAAAGGGGAGAAGGATGAGAGGGGTTGAAGACCATGAGAAGAGTAGTGACAAAACTTGGAGCTGAAAGAGTTAAGAGAGAGCTGAGAAGAGAGGAAGAAGAGAAGGGTAGAATAGTAGGTAGAAGGTTGATGGGAGTAGTAATAGCAAGGTCGAGAGTGTAGATGAGAGGTAGGAGGTGTGGCTAAAAGAAGAGTGTCAGGGAAAAAGATTGAATGAAGGAGAAGAAAAACAACAGACTGGAAGCGAGGGAGAAGAGTGGTTGTGGGGTTAAAAAGAGAGTGAAATAAAAGGAAGAATCAAAAGAGAGAGAGAATCAGACTAGCATGTGTGAGGGAGAATGTGAGGGAGAAGAGGGAGTGTGAAGGAGAGGAATGTGGAGGTGCGCTATAGCACTGATTATATCTTTACGATGGTCTGCAAGACACACATAGACGCAAATATAGATTTAAATGGAGTATAAAATCAATGAATGTGGCTAGAAAGTCTATACATGTCCCAACTTGTTATTGGGTTGACTTATCAGCCTGACTCACACATGCTAGTGTGTTGAGGTGTTCACTCACTCCTCACGTCTTTTGGACGTAGATAAACATGGCTGCTAAGGCTGTCACATTTTTTTTAATTTTATTAGAATGACTCGAAATTATTAGGAAGGAAATTTTAAATTTTAGAGAACACCGGGACTATAAGCTCTTGAATTAAATTCATTTATAGATACCATCTACACTCAAGTTCCCACGTACTTAACACACACACACACACACACACACACACACACACACACACACACACACACACACGCACACGCACACGCACACGCACACGCACACACACACACACACACACACACACACACACACACACACACACATAAAGGAAAAGAAGACCGCAGACGGACTACAATCTAGGGGGCCAGAGACTACAAACCTCACTCAAGGAAAAAGATCTTGGGGTGAGTATAACACCAAGCACATCTCCTGAAGCGCACATCAATCAAATAACTGCTGCAGCATATGGGCGCCTAGCAAACCTAAGAACAGCATTCCGACATTTTAATAAGGAATCGTTCAGGACCCTGTACACCGTCTACGTTAGACCCATATTGGAGTATGCGGCACCAGTTTGGAACCCACACCTCGCTAAGCACGTAAGGAAACTAGAGAAAGTACAAAGGTTTGCAACTAGACTAGTTCCGGAGCTAAAGGGTATGTCCTGCGAGGAGAGGTTAAGGGAAATTAACCTGACGACACTGGAGGACAGGAGAGATAGGAGGGACATGATAACGACATACAAAATGCTGAGAGGAATTGACAAGGTGGACAAAGACAAGATGTTCCAGAGATGGGACACAGCAACAAGGGGTCACAGTTGGAAGTTGAAGACTCAGATGAATCACAGTGATGTCAGGAAGTATTTCTTTAGTCACAGAGTTGTCAGTAAGTGGAATAGTCTGGGAAGTGATGTAGTAGAGGCAGGATCCATACATAGTTTTAAGAAGAGGTATGATAATGCTCATGGAGCAGGAAGAGTGACCTAGTGGCGACCAGTGAAGACATGGGGCCAGGAACTATGAATCGACCTCTGCAACCACAAATAGGTGAGTACAAACAGGTGAGTACACAGCACACACACTGTGCTCAGGCAAGCAACCAGAAGACTTGAATCGGGACCTGGCTCATAAAACAGTGACCCTGGCAGCTCTTAACAGATAGTCAACACACACACACACGGTGTTCCAGCACATTAACTATCCAAAGCACACAAGTCAAGTCCCAGAAAACATGTTCAAGCTAGCAGAAAACCGACTTTCTTGATTGGCCGCCAAATTCTCCAGGTCTCACTCAAACATGAAATTCACGAAGTGAATTGGGGAAAAAAATAGTGCAGAGGGGCTTGATTGTATAATTGTGTGAAACGATAGAAACTCGCCCCTCCTTAGGCTGATTGACCTCCCTGACCCTTCACACAGGTCAAGGCTTTGGGCAAGACTTACTGATGAACATTTACGTACACTTTTAAGATTATTAAAGAATACTGAACATAATTCAAGACTGTCAAACAACATTGAACACAATTCTAATGTTCTTTCTACTAAACTGCAACCTCGAATATTTTAAGTTTAAATAATTGAATTTCTATTTTAATAAACATTAATAAGTTGCAGTCTTCCATGGCAGGTTATTATATTCTCGACTATAACTTATTTTCACATGTGATCTAGCTTTTAAATATTAAATCTCACTATTGTTTCATGACAATACAACATGAGTGAATACGGGGATTGTTATGCCCTTGTAATTAGCTAGTAATAACAAACAATAATGGAGGGGGTACAGTGTTAGTTATTACGTTAAGTCTGTCTCGCGGCCCTCATCACACACTTGACTATCAAATGTGGTCTACTTATGCAGAAAGGTTGGTCAGTGACATGTGTTGTTTACTCCAGGTCGTGTGGGAGGAAAAAAGAGATCCGGAAAGCGACCCGTCAAGGGTAAACTGAAGGTTACCAGCCGAGGTCGCTCCTTCCTCCGTCTGCCTCAACACCCGGGGCTCTTTGTCGCTAGGTGAGTCTCTGGGGGTGGGGGGCGCCAGGTGAGTCTAGGGGGATTCCAGGTGAGTTTGGGGGATGCCAGGTGGATCTAGGACAGGGTTAACAGCAGCAGCAGCAACAGCAGTACCTACCCACCTCTTATATAACTCGTGACTGCCACAAAATGTAATAAACCAATCCGAGAATCTCCGAAGTCAACGGTATTTATATAAAAAAAAAAGTATATGGCGAATATCAGTAACTCAATTTTTCCAAATTTTCCATTTTTTGTAAATTCTGTTTATTTTTGATGCAAAACAACACCTTATTGACTATTTTACTTTTTATCACTTCCGTTCAATTGATTTTACTATTACTAGAGTAAGTTAAAAGGAGATCTGGCAGAATAATAGTGATGGTGAATTAGAGAAGATTGTTTGGTGAGAAGGTGATTATCATAATTGGGTCATTAGCATACTTGGGTCATTAGCATACTTGAGTCACTAGCATACTTGAGTCATTAGCATACTTGGGTCATTAGCATACTTGGGTCATTAGCATACTTGAGTCATTAGCATACTTGGGTCATTAGCATACTTGGGTCATTAGCATACTTGAGTCATTAGCATACTTGAGTCATTAGCATACTTGGGTCATTAGCATACTTGAGTCATTAGCATACTTGGGTCATTAGCATACTTGGGTCATTAGCATACTTGAGTCATTAGCATACTTGGGTCATTAGCATACTTGGGTCATTAGCATACTTGAGTCATTAGCATACTTGAGTCATTAGCATACTTGAGTCATTAGCATACTTGGGTCATTAGCATACTTGAGTCATTAGCATACTTGGGTCATTAGCATACTTGAGTCATTAGCATACTTGGGTCATTAGCATACTTGGGTCATTAGCTTACTTGAGTCACTAGCATACTTGAGTCATTAGCATACTTGAGTCATTAGCATACTTGGGTCATTAGCATACTTGAGTCATTAGCATACTTGGGTCATTAGCATACTTGGGTCATTAGCTTACTTGAGTCACTAGCATTTCTTGAGTCATTAGCATACTTGAGTCATTAGCATACTTGGGTCATTAGCATACTTGAGTCATTAGCATACTTGAGTCATTAGCATACTTGGGTCATTAGCATACTTGAGTCATTAGCATACTTGGGTCATTAGCATACTTGGGTCATTAGCATACTTGGGTCATTAGCATACTTGGGTCATTAGCATACTTGGGTCATTAGCATACTTGAGTCATTAGCATACTTGGGTCATTAGCATACTTGGATCATTAGCATACTTGGGTCATTAGCTTACTTGAGTCATTAGCATACTTGGGTCATTAGCATACTTGAGTCATTAGCATACTTGGGTCATTAGCATACTTGGGTCATTAGCATACTTGGGTCATTAGCATACTTGGGTCATTAGCATACTTGGGTCATTAGCATACTTGGGTCATTAGCATACTTGAGTCATTAGCATACTTGGGTCATTAGCATACTTGGGTCATTAGCATACTTGAGTCATTAGCATACTTGGGTCATTAGCATACTTGAGTCATTAGCATACTTGAGTCATTAGCATACTTGAGTCATTAGCATACTTGGGTCATTAGCATACTTGGGTCATTAGCATACTTGAGTCATTAGCATACTTGGGTCATTAGCATACTTGAGTCATTAGCATACTTGAGTCATTAGCATACTTGGGTCATTACCATACTTGGGTCATTAGCATACTTGAATCATTAGCATACTTGAGTCATTAGCATACTTGGGTCATTAGCATACTTGGGTCATTAGCATACTTGGGTCATTAGCATACTTGAATCATTAGCATACTTGAGTCATTAGCATACTTGAGTCATTAGCATACTTGAGTCATTAGCATACTTGGGTCATTAGCATACTTGAGTCATTAGCATACTTGAGTCATTAGCATACTTGGGTCATTAGCATACTTGGGTCATTAGCATACTTGAGTCATTAGCATACTTGGGTCATTAGCATACTTGGGTCATTAGCATACTTGGGTCATTAGCATACTTGGGTCATTAGCATACTTGAGTCATTAGCATACTTGAGTCATTAGCATACTTGAGTCATTAGCATACTTGAGTCATTAGCATACCTGGGTCAAGCTTCGAACCAAAATCCCAATACCAGAATTTTCACTGACAGAATCTGAGGTTCCACCAGATCCAGATGTTTCTTCAACATATCAGCATGTTTCCCTCACATTAATATCAATTTCGCCCATCTCTATGCCTCTTTTATTCACCCTTTACTAACACGTACTTCTTCTTCTCTCTCCTTCTGCTGCCTCAGGGACGCCTGGAGGCTCCACACAGGTCGTCAGTACTACATTCCCGTCACCAAGAAGACTCTTATCAACCTGGGCTTCGTCAGGCAGGTCAGTTGGGGGTCACGGCTGAAAGATCAATGGCGGGGACGGTCGAAGGGTAAAAGTCAAAAAAATTACAGTAAAGTTCACTCAAGGTCAAAACAGGTGTGTGTCTAGAAAATTCACAAGACGTTAATATGTAGCATTGAAGAAGATTATTAAGTAGTCAAGAAGAATGTAGAATTTAGTCAGGAAGATATGAATCATTCAAGAAGACTGTCGAGAAGATTCAGTCAAAAAAGATACAACTGAATCAGCAAGATACGATTCAGTCAAGAAAAGTATTAAGATTTAAGCTTCCTAAGGTTAATCTCTAATAATATTATTATTCTTAGAAGTAACAGAGGTTCGAGTAGTTAAAGAAGTAGTAGTAGTCGTAGTAGTTCTGTTAGTAGTAGTAGTAGTAGTAGTATTAGAGTGTAAACCCGAGTAACCACTAACACGATACACTAACAGGTGACCTACGGCAGTCTGGCAGAGGAGAAGACTCGCACCGTCCTTATCAACGGTGCCTGGAAGAAAGCAGCAGGTGAGCCTGGCAGGGTATAGCAGGGGTTGACAGGGTGTAGTAGGGGCTGGTAGGGTATAGCAGGAACTGGCAAGGTATAGCAGGGGCTGGCAGGTTATACTAGGGCCTGGCATGGTATAGCAGGGGCTGACAGGATATAACATGGACTGGTAGGGTATACCAAGGGATGGCAGGGTGTAGTAGGGGTTGGAAATATATAGCAGAAGCTGGCAGGGTATAGCAGGGACTGGAAGGGTATAGTAGGGGCTGGCAAGGTAGAGAAGAGCCTGGCAGGGTATAGTAAGGGTTGGCAAGGCAAAGCAGGGGATGGCAGAACATAGCAGAAGCTGGCAGCGGATAGCAAGGGATGCCAGGGTATAGCACAGGATGGCAGGGTATAGCAGGGGCCGGCAAGGTATAGCAAGATATAGCAGAAGATAGCAGAGTATAGCATTGGTTCAAGTATACAGTGTACAGTGGAGTACACAGTGGAGCACACTGTGGAGTACACTGTGGAGCACACTGTGGAGTACACAGTGGAGTACACAGTGGAGCACACTGTGGAGTACACAGTGGAGTACACAGTGGAGCACACATTGGAGCACACATTGGAGCACACAGTGGAGCCCACAGTGGAATATACTGTGGAGCACACAGTGGAGTACACAGTAGAGTACACAGTGGAGCACACAGTGAAGTACACAGTAGAGTACACAGTGGAGTACACAGTGGAGTACACAGTGGAGTACACAGTGGGGTACACAGTAGAGTACACAGTAAGAGAACTGGAAAGTGAGTGTGTGTCGACCACAAAGTGGAAATGACTCACCATTCAGGAGGAGGTTCACGAGGACAATGTTTCGCCCTGCACAGTTTTAATCAAGCTGTGCTCAGGGCGAAACATAGACCTCGCTAAAAAAAAACTCGTTCTGCTACGTGTGCTTTTTATTTTTTAACTTCGGCAGAACGCAAGTTAGACACACACACACACACACACACACACACACACACACACACACACACACGATAAGTCAGTTACTTCAGACGTTAATAACTCTCAGACTTGTTTTGGCATGATCATACGAACAAAGATCACTCGTCTCCTCAGGGTACTTCGTTGATCTGTTCGAGAAGGTGGACCATGACCCCGTTACCTCCGTCATCACCACCAGCAGGAGCGTCTTCGAGCAGCTCCTGACGCAACTGCTTCCGGAGCAATAGTTGACCATCACCTGCTGACTCTAAACTCACCCTTCTTCATCCTCTCTCTCTCTTACTACCAACCTCCCTCGCCCACTGACTCCCACCTCCTTCACCCACTGACAGAAAGCCACCTAACACTCTACAGGTTAAACCACCTCCAGTACCTTCACTAACACGTAGGGTTGTGAGGTGAACATCAGTGCTATTTTCAGAACCCTTCTGATTTACTATCAATGTTTACATCATTCGCACAGCGGATGTCTGTAGTTAACATTATTCATGAGTCAGTTTGTTACGTTTAAGTTAAACATAGTGTTATTATCATCATCATTCAGAATGTTAAGCTAAACACTGGAGGATACTTGATATCTTCCCCACTATTATCTTCCTAAAACAGTGCAAATAATAATTTATTTTGGGATTATTCAGCGATGAAAGATGCAAAATAACCTCAGGGGGAGTCGAATTATAGTTCTAGGCATTCGTGTGGCATTTAACACATCGTCAGGAGCTTGCAATGTTGCAGGAATAGTGTAAGAAATCCAGGCCGATTACCCCGAACGAATCTGTCTGGATTTCTTACTCTATTTCTGCACCATTGTAAGCTCCTGATATCTTGATTGCAACACGAAACATATATATAGTTATCATTTAACTCCCCTGTGGTTATTTTGAGATATACTGAAGCCAAGTAATCCCATTTATTTCCACTTGATGTAGTACCAGTCTTGGTATGCTCTTTAAGGCTTGTTTTAGTGTCAACATTAACTGTCTTATATAAAATTGTATATAACATGTCAATAAACTGAGCCCTACTCAATAAAATCTATTAAACATGAGTGTATATTTCTCTAACCATTGTGGTATATATACCCAGAGAAGTTACATCACTTTTTTCTGTGTAAATACGAAATATATTTAGGAATTTAAATATTTAGAATCAGGGGTATATACACTGAGAGATTTATATTTCTTGGTGTATATATCAGATGGTTTTAGAATTTAACAACTGGATTTGATTCTGTGCATTACAAGGTATATATTACAAGGTGTGCATCACATAGTGTGTGTCACATGGTGGGTATCACATGGTGTGTATCACATGGGTATCACATGGTGGGTATCACATGGTAGGCATCACATGATGGGTATCATATGGTGAGTATCACATGATGGGTATCACATGGTGTGTATCACATGGTATTACATGGTATCACACGGTATCATATGATGTATAACGCATGGTGTGTGTGGCATGCAAAGAGTACGTAACCTTTATTCGGCGCATGTACACACCCTCATTGACAGGCTATCTCCCCCAGCCAGCGAACCAGGGACTAAGGGTTGACGATGGGGCCCCGTCGTTCAATCAGTACCCAGGTTCCAGCCAATGAGAATATGGTTCTGGCAATTGCAGAGGTGATGTGGGTACCACTCACCTGTCTGCCCTTGTCATTCCCATTCTAGAGCTGGTTGAAGCACGGTCTGCTCTCTAGTGGCTTCTATTCTGCCTTGCTTACCGTGGAGTGCACTAATACCTATTGTTGTACATAGTGTATATAGTGTACATACTTCTGTTCTTACTTGGTGAAGGATAATATAAGTCAAAAGTTTTTCTGTTGTTTATTTTGCTCCCTTTATACCCAGGATAACAGGCCTTTGGGACTCCTGGGTTGTAATAGTGTGTATCACATGGTGTGTATCACATGGTATGTATCACATGATGTGTGTCACATGGTGGGTATCACATGGTGGGTATCACATGGTGTGCGTCACATGGTGGGTATCACATGGTGTGTATCACATGATGTATAACGCATGGTATTACATGGTGTATAACGCATGGTGTGTATCACATGGTGGATATCACATGGTGAGTATCACATGGTGTATAACGCATGGTGCGTATCACATGGTGGGTATCACATGATGGGCATCACATGGTGTGTATCACATGGTGTATATCACATGGTGTGTATCACATAGTGTGTATCACATGGTGGGTATCACATGGTGGGCATCACATGGTGGGCATCACATGATGTGTATCACATGGTGTGTATCACATGGTGTGTATCACATGGTGGGCATCACATGATGTGTATCACATGGTGTGTATCACATGGTGTGTATCACATGGTGTGTATCACATAGTGTGTATCATATGGTGGGTATCACATGGTGGGCATCACATGATGTGTATCACATGGTGTGTATCACATGGTGTGTATCACATGATGGGTATCACATGGTGGGTATCACATGGTGGGTATCACATGGTGGGTATCACATGGTAGGCATCACATGGTGGGTATCACATGGTGTGTATCACATGGTGGGCATCACATGGTGGGCATCACATGGTGGGCATCACATGGTGGGCATCACATGGTGGGTATCACATGTGTATCACATGGTGTGTATCACATGGTGGGTATCACATAGTGTGTATCACATGGTGGGCATCACATGGTGGGCATCACATGGTGTGTATCACATTGTGGGTATCACATGTTGGGCATCACATGGTGGGTATCACATGGTGGGTATCACATGGTGGGTATCACATGGTGGGCATATGCATTACGAGCTTACTGTCATCCCCATCTCAGTAATTAGTATGCTTGATGTTTGTTCAATTTCGGCCTTGTGGGCCTCGTGTGCTCAACGGCCTTTATACCCAACACACTTTTTTTTCATTGCAACCAAACAAAACTGTAAGAAACCACTTACTTTTGTGAAACATTTTAATATGTTCAGAGCACAACATTAGTGAAATTCGTGTTTTCCACCAGTCATTGCAAGTAGCAAGCAGCGAAATTAATAATTATTATGAAATCATTCACAGAAGATGCAATAATAACAGGACATAACGAAATGATGCTGTAGAGGACGAATCTGAACCAACGTGATGTAAATACTGCCTACTACGTTAAACTTGCCGATTAATACCAACATGTATTAGACAGGCACACATTCGCTTATCCAGACATTTAATGAAGATACGTTTCGCCCATCAGTGTCTTCTTCAGTCTCTACATAGAACGAGGTTAGGTTAGGTTTGTCAGGAAACATACAAGTGTTTCCTGACGCGAGTCATATGATGACTCGTCCTTGGAGCTTTTGGTCATCTGACCGAGGCCTTCCACTGGCTTACCGATTCACCCCTTTAAATAAATTGAGGTTATAATTAAAGCTAGTTACTTTTAAGTTAGTCCATATCAGAAAATCAAAAGTGGCAGACCTTATAACAAGGGTTTAACCCAAGCAATCTCAACTTGTTTAATACGCTTACTTACGTTCACACAAGTAGTGAAGCAAAAAACGAAAAGGCACAATAAGGACCCCCAGTGGAAATAAGTAAGGACCCAAGTGGAAATAAGGATCCCAATGCAAATAAGTACCCCAATGAAAATAGGCAGGGACACCAATGGAAATAAGCAGGGACCCCAATGGAAATAGGCAGGGACACCAATGGAAATAAGCAGGGACCCCAATGAAAATAGGCAGGGACCCCAATGGAAATAAGCAGGGACCCCAATGGAAATAAGTAGGGACCCCAATGGAAATAAGCAAGGACCCCAATGAAAATAAGTAGGGACCCCAATGGAAATAAGTAGGGACCCCAATGGAATAAGTAGGGACCCCAATGGAAATAAGCAGGGACCCCAATGAAAATAAGTAGGTACCCCAATGGAAATAAGTAGGGACCACAGTGGAAATAAGCAGGGACCCCAATGGAAATAAGTAGGGACCCCAATGGAAATAAGTAGGGACCCCAATGGAAATAAGTAGGGACCCCAATGGAAATAAGTAGGGACCCCAATGGAAATAAGTAGGGACCCCAATGGAAATAAGTAGGGACCCCAATGGAAATAAGTCACTTTGTCTGACTTTTTTGGGTTATCCCAGGTTCTCTACACATATGCTGCTATGTATGATAATTCTATGTAACTGTATTTGTGTATACCTGAATAAACTTACGTAATACCATGCTTGGAACAATACACAAATGACCCGCGCATAAGAGAAAGGAGCTTACGACAACGTTCCGGTCCGACTCTGACCTACCTAAACATTTCCAAACCTCCCCTTCCTTCCCTTCCACATACACACACACACACAGACACACACACACACACACACACACACACACACACACACAACACACACACACACACACACACACACACACACACACACACACACACACACACACAGGATATCAGATCCTGAGGAAAGATAGAAGGAGTAGAGGGGGAGGAGGGGTTGCACTGCTCATAAAACACCGATGGGGATTTGAGGAAATGGAAGGCATGGACATGATTGGAGAAAGAGACTACATTGTAGGTACAATTCAGTCCGGAGAACATAAAGTAGTCATTGGAGTGATGTATAACCCACCACAGAACTGCAGGAGGCCAAGAGAGGAGTACAAAGAAAAACAACAGGGTGATGGTGGACACACTGGCTGAGGTGGCAAGAAGAGCTCACTCGAGCAGAGCAAAGTTACTGGTAATGGGCGATTTCAACCACAGGGAGATCGACTGGGAAAACCTGGAGCCACATGGGGTCCCGAAACATGGAGAGCCAAGATGATGGATGTGGTACTTGAAAACCTCATGCATCAACATGTCAGGGACACAACCAGAGAGAGAGGGGAGGATGAGCCAGCAAGACTGGATCTTGTGTTCACCCTGAGCAGTTCAGACATTGAGGACATCACTTACGAGAGGCCCCTTGGAGCTAGCGATCATGTGGTTCTGAGTTTTGACTATATAGTAGAGTTACGAGTGGAGAAGGTAACAGGAACTGAAGGGGACAGGCCAAACTATAAAAGGGGGGACTACACAGGTATGAGAAACTTCCTGCAGGAGGTTCAGTGGGACAGAGAAATGGTAGGAAAATCAGTAAACGAGATGATGGAATATGTGGCAACAAAGTGCAAGGAGGCAGAGGAAAGTTTTGTTCCCAAGGGAAACAGAAATAATAGGAAGACCAAAACGAGTCCTTGGTTTACCCGAAGGTGTAGGGAGGCAAAAACTAAGTGCAACAGAGAATGGAAAAGGTACAGGAGGCATAGGACCCAGGAAAACAAGGAGATTAGTAGAAGAGCCAGAAACGAGTATGCACAGATAAGGAGGGAGGCCCAGCGACAGTATGAAAACGACATAGCATCGAAAGTCAAATCTGACCCGAAACTGCTGTATAGCCACATTAGGAGGAAGACAACAGTCAAGGACCAGGTGATAAGGCTGAGGAAAGAAGGTGGAGAACTCACCAGAAACGATCAAGAGGTATGTGAGGAGCTCAACAGGAGATTTAAGGAAGTATTTACAGTAGAGACAGGAAGGACTCTGGCGGGACAGACCAGATGGGGACACCAGCAAGGAATACACCAACAAGTGTTGGACGACATACATACAGATGAGGAGGAGGTGAAGAAACTGCTAAGGGACATCGATACCTCAAAGGCAATGGGACCGGACATCTCCCCGTGGGTCCTTAGAGAGGGAGCAGATATGTTGTGCGTGCCACTTACCACAATCTTCAACACATCCCTGGAAACTGGGCAACTACCTGAGGTATGGAAGACGGCAAATGTAGTTCCCATTTTTAAAAAGGAGACAGAAAAGAGGCACTAAACTATAGACCTGTATCATTGACGTGTATAGTATGCAAAATTATGGAGAAGATTATCAGGAGGAGAGTGGTGGAGCACCTGGAACGGAACAAGAGTATAAATGCCAACCAGCACGGATTCACAGAAGGCAAATCCTGTGTCACAAACCTTCTGGAGTTTTATGATAAAATAACAGAAGTAAGACACGAGAGAGAGGGGTGGGTTGATTGCATCTTCTTGGACTGCAAGAAGGCCTTTGACACAGTTCCTCACAAGAGATTAGTGCAGAAGCTAGAGCATCAGGCGCATATAACAGGAAGGGCACTGCAATGGATCAGAGAATACCTGACAGGGAGGCAACAACGAGTCATGGTACTAATGATGTATCACAGTGGGCACCTGTGACGAGCGGGGTCCCACAGGGGTCGGTCCTAGGACCAGTGCTATTTTTGGTAAATGTGAACGACATGACGGAAGGGTTAGACTCAGAAGTGTCCCTGTTTGCAGATGATGTGAAGTTAATGAGAGAATTAAATCTGATGAGGACCAGGCAGGACTTCAAGAGACCTGGACAGACTGGACACCTGGTCCAGCAAATGGCTTCTCGAATTTATCCTGCCAAATGCAAAGTCATGAAGATAGGGGAAGGGCACAGAAGACCACAGACAGAGTATAGGCTAGGTGGCCAAAGACTGCAAACCTCACTCAAGGAGAAAGATCTTGGGGTGAGTATAACACCGAGCATGTCTCCGGAAGCACACATCAATCAGATAACTGCTGCAGCATATGGGCGCCTGGCAAACTGAGAACAGCATTCCGATACCTTAGTAAGGAATCATTCAAGACACTGTACACCGTGTATGTCAGGCCCATACTGGAGTATGCAGCACCTGTTTGGAACCCGCACTTGATAAAGCACGTCAAGAAACTAGAGAAAGTACAAAGGTTTGCGACAAGGTTAGTTCCAGAGCTAAAGGGAATGTCCTATGAAGAAAGATTAAGGGAAATCGGCCTGACGACACTGGAGGACAGGAGGGTCAGGGAGACATGATAACGACATATAAAATACTGCGTGGAATAGACAAGGTGGACAAAGACAGGATGTTCCAGGGAGGGGACACAGAAACAAGAGGCCACAATTGGAAGTTGAAGACACAAATGAGTCAGAGAGATATTAGGAAGTATTTCTTCAGTCATAGAGTTGTAAGGCAGTGGAATAGCCTAGAAAATGACGTAGTGGAGGCAGGAACCATACACAGTTTTAAGACGAGGTTTGATAAAGCTCATGGAGCGGGGAGAGAGAGGGCCTAGTAGCAACCGGTGAAGAGGCGGGGCCAGGAGCTAGGACTCGACCCCTGCAACCACAAATAGGTGAGTACACACACACGAAGTAAGCTGTCGTACATGCACGTACATGGACAGAAACGATATTAAAATTCTTCATATCAGTTAGTATAAATTTATTAAATTCATTAAGGGTCAACTGTTTAGTCTGGTAATTACTTCCCCAGGCAAAGTTTGTCATTCTCAGATGGCGCTGAGATTATGTGTTTAATTTATTCATAGCCTGAAGAGAAGTATAGGGAGTCAGAGAGACAAGAGAAGTATAGGGAGTCAGAGAGACAAGAGAAGTATAGGGAGTCAGAGAGACAAGAGAAGTATAGGGAGTCAGAGAGACAAGAGAAGTATAGGGAGTCAGAGAGACAAGTATAGAGAGCCAAAGAGACAAGAGAAGCAAGAAGTACAGTAATATCCATCCAGGCAGCTGTTGTAGCTCTGGATACGAGATATATATTTATTATGAGATTGTGATTGCAAATCACCGGCATGAATCACGTGGATATTTTCATGAGGTTTCCGTATCTACGATGTTTTGGTGGATAGACAACTGTAGACATGGCTAGTCAGTAGACTACTGCCCAGGGACTGTGAATCAGAACCTGGGTCATTAATTAAGGTTAAAGACCTTCAACAACTCTAAGTGTTATTAAGCAACGTGTCCTAAATTCTTTGTCGTGCTCCTGCACTCCGTTTTCAGGAAATTTCTCAAGGAATTGCTGCTAGAGCAGTGAGTGGAGCAGACGGGTGGAGCTCTCTGGTGGTGAACACAGCAGACACTGCTGGGTCAACCTTGGTGGAGCAGTAGGGCAGAGGGTTGTGAGTGGGGTGGAGGGGGTTAACACTGTTGGTGTGCAGCTGGTATACAGGATACATACACTGGGAGGTGTATGTCTCTCAGCGTATATACCTTAAGTTTACTTCGATGAATATTCTAGAGTTTATGGTAGTCTGGTGAACAGGATATAAGTAACCTTAATGGCCCTCGAGTAGTTGAAAGGCTTTTAAAACCACTGTAACTAACCCACCAGTGTGTTATTCTTGGCTACCTAAGATAACTTGGGATACGTATGGTATTCCACGTTCAACAGCGAGAAGTATATCCTTAAGAGCAATGAAGAAGATATTGATGATCGCGCTGTCAACAACAGATTACGAAACCCAAAGAACAACTTCCAGGATGTAGTTCCCGCATAAACCAGGAAGCAATGGTAAGACCCGCGAATATTTACAGTAAGCACAACTGTCAGTTATCACGGTGTTATTCGAGGCTGACGATATGTTGATCAGGGTAGCTTTTGAAAAATATGGTAATATGCATTTTATTCACAGGGTAGGTGGTTGTAGGGTCACCACTGTGTGGTAATAACATGATTGCAAACAAGCCAGGCAATGGGCGGGGTTTGAACCCGTGGCTAGTGAGTTAGCCCCCCCTTTCCCTAGTGTTTGTTGGGGAGAGATTTATGCTTAATTCAGGTAATTGAAGCAGTGATGCAATTCTCCTGATCAAGAGCCCTCCACCAGCATCAATGAACCTCCTTTGAGGAGCTGAGCCCATGGAAAGGGTTCTAAAAGTCACAGGCAAGAAATTCAAAAATCCCCCTCCCACCCCCTAAACCTGGAGTTTACCTGGAGAGAGTTCCGGGGGTCAACGCCCCCGCGGCCTGGTCTACGACCAGGCCTCCCCTCGACGGCATCCAGAATTTTTTTTTCCCCTTCCAAGGAAAGAGTGAAATATATAATGCAGATAATTGCAAAAATCAAGCGAATAAACAGGAATAAGTTACATAAAAAATATTTAAAACCAGAAAACCTGTATTAAACCCAAGAAAATCTAATATAAATTACAACAGGATAATTCTAGATTAATATAAAAATTATGGCGCCGAATAACTATTAATAACATTTTGGTAAACACGATTATGTAGATTGGAAAGTTAACATTAACATAAAATTTAATATTGTATTAATGAAACTGCCGGGCGAGCACACTAACAACCTGCTTGATTGTTCAAGGGTACCCAACCAGCGGCTCTGAGAGGCAGTTGACGTCCAGCGATTGTCATTTAATGGCTTTCACAGCCGACATATAATGGTGTAGACGGCGCAGTCACTGTTGAGTGACGGTGACATTGATGTCTACAGATCTGTCACTGGCAGAGACAGTGATCTTCCAGAGAGACTTCTCAAGATCTCTCACTCAGAGATACGAGGTTCATCACCCAACTCCCCCACGGCGGAACCCGCCAGGTCCCCCACTCCACGGCGGGACCCGCCAGGTCCCCCACTCCACGGCGGGAAGCACCTGACTGTCGGCAACTTGCATCTTGATGCCCAACACTTGGCAACTTGTATCGTGATGCCCAATACTTGGCAACTTGTATCGTGTTATACAGCACTTTGCAACTTAGCCAGGCAGAGCTAACTTAATGTTGCATCTTGCAAAAGCTCTAAAGTAATTTTTATCAACTGCAGTTGGATCAGCAGTCTAACATAAATGTTGCATCAGATCTCTCAAAATGCAAGCAACCTCAGAGAGCATCATGCAAGTGCTTTTATATTATGCCTTTTAATAGTTGCTCTTTTTATCTTAATAATATGTAGAGAACAGAAAAATTACCATTTTTACTTTTTTTGGGCCTAGCAAAATGGGTTTCCCTAGCCTTTAAGTAATGATCTTTGAACGTTAGTGTTTGGAGGTACGCTAGATAGAATCTAAATTAGATGTACCTGTATACTGTGTACCCTAGTGGGTTTAGCGCTTCTTTATTATGTATACCGTGTAGTAGGTAGGAACAATACCAACAGGAATATATTGTTTAACAGCATCAGACTGACGAATATACAGTCATATAGACCGAACAGCTCCTGAACAGACTAGTCCTTTTACCCGTGTCCTGTCAGAGTACCCAGTGTAAGAAATGTTTTTCTAATGAAGTTTAATCTGTAGTCTCACGTTCTACTCAAGTTTATTCTTGACTATCACAATCAATGGGTGTTTCCCAGACACATTTATTTTTAGATTAATTATAAACGTTAAATGAATAATTATCTTATTTAGGAGTTGTTCTTAGGCTCCAGGTAAACTCCAGGGTTTCTACAGTCTTCTCCCAAGCCCCCACCTTGTCAGGAGGCAGATGTGGTGGGCTCACGACCTTATCAAAATGTGGGTTTGGGAGAGACTGACCTCACACCCTCACCTTGTCAGAAGGCGGGTTTCGTATCTTATATCTCATTTTTAAGATCTAATAAGCTTGATTTCATTTACGGAAAATCTCTGTACCGAAACTAATCAGGTTAGCGCAGAAATTATTTTGTTTAATCTTCATGTTGATCTACACATAAAGTAACTACACAGAAGCTGGGCCTCGACGGTAATGGAGCACGGGGGCCTCGACGGTACTGGATCACGGGGGCCTCGACGGTACTGGATCACGGGGGCCTCGACGGTACTGGATCACGGGGGGCCTCGACGGTACTGGATCACGGGGGCCTCGACTGTACTGGATCACGGGGGCCTCGACTGTACTGGATCACGGGGGCCTCGACTGTACTGGATCACGGGGGCCTCGACGGTACTGGATCACGGGGGCCTCGACGGTAATGGATCACGGGGGCCTCGACTGTACTGGATCACGGGGGCCTCGACTGTACTGGATCACGGGGGCCTCGACGGTACTGGATCACGGGGGGCCTCGACGGTACTGGATCACGGGGGACTCGACGGCACTGGATCACGGGGGCCTCGACGGTACTGGATCACGGGAGCCTCGACGGTACTGGATCACGGGAGCCTCGACGGTACTGGATCACGGGGGCCTCGACGGTACTGGATCACGGGAGCCTCGACGGCACTGGATCACGGGGGCCTCGACGGTACTGGATCACGGGGGCCTCGCCGGTACTGGATCACGGGGGCCTCGACGGCACTGGATCACGGGGGCCTCGCCGGTACTGGATCACGGGGGCCTCGCCGGTACTGGATCACGGGTGCCTCGCCATTCCCTCCATAATTTCCACAAATATTAGAGATTTTTCCCCAGTTAAATTGTGCTCCGGAGGTGTAATGGAGGAGGTCATACTTTATTTTTCCTGTCACCTCCCCAATTAGTGTCGAGGCTGTTCGCACCACCAAACGATATTAAATCAAGCAGACCTTCAGATTTACTATCTGCTAGCAGGCTAGTGATTTATTCTACAGCTGGTTGACGGCGGAAAGTTGTTGGAAAAATTTGCTAAATTTGGAAATAGGCCTATTGCATAACAGGCCTATGAGGCTTTAATAATTCACCCTCTTATAGGACTGCGGAAGTTGCAACTGTTATTAAGTGGTAAGATATATATATACTACAATAATTTATTACTTTAATAGGGTATCTAATCATTTTTTTTTTATATTTTATTAATAAAATCCATACAACAAATATAAATCAAAATGAGAAAGCGTTACCAGGTCTGCTATCCAACCAACAATATTACATACACACACATCAGTATTCTGCGTAGAAGCAAAACCCCTTCCCACAATTCCTAGGATACAGACCAAGACGTATAATAACAAAACATAACGGAGCTACTCTGCAAAACAAAGCTATACCGTGGTTACAAAAAAAAAAAAAAGAAATATGCACGATATGTAAAAATCTGTGTCTGCATAATACACTGGAAATAATCGTACTTCTTACAATAATGCATGGCGTAAACTATAGAATTACAACTGACGTAATACACAAACTTTTACTATGGTTATCCCAAAGTACTTATCCATCAACCTCCCCCCTCCCCCCCGGCAGGATCCCACTTCACACCACCAATTTATTCCCTACTACTAAATGTGCTTTATACCGATCCATACCTTGTAACAAAAGTGGAATAGTCTATATCATCGGTAAGGTATCAAGAGGCATGTATATACAGTACTTGGCACACTAATGGGGGCTCTGGTGGCTTGGTGGTTAACGCTCTCGCTTCACACGGTGAGGGCCTGGGTTCGATTCCCAGCCAGAGTAGAAACATTGGACGTGTTTCTTTCCACCTGTTGTCTATGTTCCCCATCAGTAAAATGGTGTTAGTCGACTGGTGTGGGTCGCATCCTGGGACACTGACCTAAGGAGGCTTGGTCACAGACCGGGCCGCGGGGGCGTTGACCCCCGGAACTCTCTCCAGATAAACTCTCCAGATAATTACCCACTTAAAACTTCTATATAAAGCATCTCGTTACACACCATACCAATAATTATAACACAAATCTTCCAGCACACACTTTACGACTCGCAGGTCGCATTACATACATTGCTGTGACTCTTATGTACTTAGTAAAACCAGTACTAACAGGTGCACACAGAATACATCTCAAAAACAATTGTATTACAAAACTCCAAACAATTCACACTATATGCAACTAACACCAACCTGGGAAATTAGAAAATTTTGTATAACATAAACACGGCGTAGCCTCTGTTGGTGACTTAGTGGTTCTGCATGACTCAGCATAAGAAAACTATACCGTGGTTCTGAGTACCACTCCCCTCCCCCCCCTTTCTCAGACTATGATGCTCAATCACGCCAGCAAGACACTATACCCCAGACCACACAAAGGTTCCCTTCCTTCACCCTACATTACACCCAGATTCACCATACATACCAAATAAAACATATAGTCCAGACGCCAAAAAACCTAACTCTTATCTCCCCCCCCGGGAGACCAACCCCTAGGCTCCACCAAGGGATTATACCTACCCCCCACCTCATTACTCCCGTAACGTTTCCATCGTTAGATTCCTATACCCCAACGAACAAGCTCCCTCCCAGCATTACGCATATACCTCTCTATTCCTACATTTCGTCCTATAAACATGACACATCAGCGCCTTGACGCGCATCGCACCCCTAAGCCCCCGCATACCCCATGACACACACAAATAGTCAACTACCAAATATGACACAGAACGTCGTACAGCATCCGAGCAATCTCCCATTTCAAGACTCAAAACTCTAAGCATCGACAACCCCCCCCCCCCCCTCCCACTCATCGAGAACACCCTTGAACCAATTCCTAACCCTTATGTAAACTGTCACAAAAGTATACGACATGAAACGCCGTTTCCGGCCACCCACACCACGCACAGGTCTGATCCTGGGTCATTCCCATAATGTACAATTGTGCCTTGGACGCCAAAATCCCGTGGAGGAATCGGTAACCAGTTTCCCTAACCTGTGGTTGTAAGCGCAATTTCTTGAACCCCTGCCACATAGTCTTCCAATGATATCCTGGGAAAACCTCAGCACCGATGACTTCTGCCGATGTAATACCTATATTACTCAGTTTACCTGCCTTAACTCTCACAGGGTTTTGCACCATCAATAAGTGCCGTAACATTGCTTCGCACCTTGTGAGGTCTTTCTCCACCCACCATCGTCGAACCTCCCTCATCACTGCATCAACTCTCGCTCCCCTGACCCCACCCCTTGTTAGGAATACCTGTCGTACATATATGCCCATTAGACGACTGTGTAGTGGTATTAGCCCCAAACCTCCCCGAATTACGTGCGTCATAACTATGTCCTTCCCTAACCAATGCCTACGGTAACCCCATATGAAATCCAAAGCCTTCCTCTGTAACCGCAACACATCGTTCGTCATCAATGGATAGACAGCTGAAACAAACCATAATTTACTGTACACCAGTACATTGACAACTATTACTCTTTGGTGTAATGTTACATCACCTGGTCTCCATCCCGCCATCCTGCGAATTGCAGCTGTAACTACAATGGATGAATTAAATGCATGCGCCGCCTGTTCGTCATTGCAAAAATGCACACCGCAGATCTTTATCCGCTCAACGGGTCTCCATACCTAACGTACCTAACGTCCCGCCCATCCAGGACCCCACCTCCAAAAGTTTGGATTTTTCTCTATTAATGCGCATGGAAGACGCATCGCTAAAAAACCTTATAACCTTATTTATGAACGCTAAACCATTCCTACTAAGCACCAAGATGATGGTATCGTCCACATAACCTAAAATTTCCACTGCTTCCTGCGCACAATCCTCCCCCCCCCCCACCCCACCCATTACCAATCTATAAAAAGGGGTCCTGCAAACAGGCAAACAAAAGCTGCGAGAGGGGACACCCCCTGCCGCAGCCCCCACCCCATGCCTATCGCGGACCCCACCCTCCCATTAACCTGGACTCGTACCTGTGCCTCCGTATATAACATACGTACCCACGCTACTATTTCTTCCCCGAAACTCTGCTTCAATAATATAGCTAATAATGTTTCCCTATCCACATTGTCAAAAGCCTTTTCCCAATCCAATCCTACGACTCCGCCTCCACTACAATCCTTCACGAAACTTTTGAGGCGTCGATGACCATCTCTCATAGATCGGCCAGGAATCCCGTATTGCCCTTCCCATATTACCTTGTCCAAAACTCGTTTCATCCGGTTTGCCAAAATACGCGCAAAAATCTTATAATCCGCCCCCATCAACATGATGGGACTATATGCCTCCAAAGATTCGCAGACCTCGGCCTTTGGTACCAATACTACAACACCCAACCCCGCTTCACCGCCCATGCTACCTCTAGTTTTCATTGAATTGTAAAGTCGAACCAACATGTGTTTTAACAGTTCCCAATGAACTACATAAAAATCACCTGGTATCCCATCCCAACCAGGTGATTTCCTCAGTGCCTGCCCCTGAACAGCCTTGGAAACAACAACCTCCGATATACGACCCTCCATGTCCTCTCGATCCACGTCTCTCAAATTTGCCACTATGCCACGCAGTAAAGCTTCCCTCGCCTCTCTATTCCCCTCTCTACCCTTCCATTTTCTCTCAAACCATTGGTCTGCATAGGTCCCTATGCTCTCAGTAGTAACTAGCCTTTGTCCTTTATGATAACCACCCATGTCATCACCGACCACTACTGACAAAACTGTCGTCGCCATAAGTCTCATTCTGAAACTACGCAGAACCCAACAGAGGGTTTATCCCCCCAAAGCAGCACCTCAATCCCAGCTAGCACCCTCAAAGCCTGAAATTTATCATTCTGAATTTCCCGTAATTGACTATGTAGGCACTCTATTTCCGCTAGGTCATACCTCCCGCCTGTACCATAACAATCTCGCAGCTGTCCCTCTAAATACTTTTGCTTCCCATATCTATAACACGCCGCCTCCTTCCCTAATCGTCTATAAAAACCCTGTATTGCATGTTTCGCCTTTGAATGCCACCACTCTACAACATCCTCTATCCCATTCCCGTTATTCCAGAAGTCAACCCACCATAACCTCAAAGCTTCCACAGCATCGACTCCTTGCAACAAGCTGACATTTAATTTCCAATAACTAGTAAATACACGGATAGCACCCTCCCACTCGAGTGTTACCAGAACACCACGGTGATCTGAGAAACCCAGATCAACACAATCGACCCTGCCACTACGGATTAAGTTGGTGATATAAACCCTGTCCAACCGCGCAGCGTAACCCCTTCTACAAAACATATGTTCCACATTCCACCCGTCGCTACCCACAACATCCACTACACCAATCGCCTGCAATACCTCACGTAAAACCCTTAAATTACACCCCCCACCACGCGGTTCTACGTCTTTTTCCCGGATCACACAATTCCAATCACCTGCAACGATAGAAACTAAGGGTAGACTTCTGAGAAAATAAACCAAAACATCGCGTACAAAATCCTCTTTTACTCGTCGATTTGTTGTCGCTGGCATATATACTCCCACGAAACCCACCACACGCACAACCCGGCCCCCTCCGCCCCACTCCCATGCTACGAGCTTAAAAGGGCTGGTCTCCCTTATGCCTATCACAACCCCTATCCGAATTTCCCGCATATCACTTATACCCTTGCACACGTAATTCACTACCACACCGAAAATTGTGTTCCTGTATAAAAAACGTCAACATTCATACGTCTAAGCGATACCTCTACCCAACGTCTCTTGACCTCTGCTCTGAGGCCATTGACATTCATTGTTATACACGAACTCTCTGGGTAGGCTTTCTCATTTCGTTTTCCCATCACCTTTATACCTGACTTGAACTTGCCACTGCTGCACCTGCCCGTTTTCCCCACACTCCCACTTAACTTCTCTAAGGGGGGTCCCTTAACTCCCTTGGCTACGTCAGCCCACACCATTTTACAAGACCTTTGACCCGGTGTTAAGACATCGTCCTCCACAGGTGTACTGGGCCTCTTACGTGACTCCCTCATAGTCCATAAGCCCATCGCTGTCCGTTCTATGTACCTCGACATCCGTCACCACCACAGACGTAAAACTCGTACGCCTTTCCTCACCGCCCACACGTCCCGCTAGACCATGGTCGACCACAGGCGACACCGCAAATATAGGCGGTAAACCCTCTGACGCCGGGCTATCGAGGATCCTCTGTAAGTCTTCAAAACTGGGCAATATCAATGGCGTTTGTGCCTCCTCTTCCACCGGAGGTGACGCACCCAATCGCCTCGATCTCCGACGCTGGTGGTAGCGTCGAGACGATCTCCTCTGCAGCATCCACTGCTTCACTCCACTTTACATCCGCTGGTAAAACCTGCAGCACGTCGTCCACCATTGTGGGCTTCTGATGGCCCAGCTCAAACTCCTCCATCGTATCTTTGGATGCAGTGTCTGTCAGGTCCGACCGTTGTTTCCCTCGTCGGTGCTCACAAGACGCCTCCATATGACACGTTGCACCACAAAGTCGGCACGTCCGAACCTGGCCCGGGTAGGTTACGTCCTGTTTCCAATTAAACTTACCTGACACAATTTACCTTTGATGTTAAAGGTCTCTCTGACTTATGTAAAATTGATATTGCAGCAGTTAGTAAATATCTACACGAAATATTTTAGTTTACCCAGAAGAGTATACAAGGCAATTTACCTCTTATTCTCCTTTAATTTTTTCACTACAGGATTCATACTGGTTCTGAAATTATCATAGTTAAAATGTTTTAAATAATCTTGGTTGTACACGAGGATAGTTATAATTCAATTGTTACTCAGTATTTAAGTTATATTTATTTAGTTACTTATTTCATCTTATTTTTAATTCCTATAATCTTTAAAATAACTCGTATAATCGTTTTATTATAAGTAGTATAATCTTTGTTAAATGTCTAAGCAGTTTACAAAGCATTATATAATTCTTCTAAATATCTTAAACTAGTTCTAAGTTCTTTTAATATTCAATAATCTAGTTCTAATTCAGAATTTAAATTAATTAGAATTTTTAGTCTGATACTTATATTTTTAATATTTTTTTAATGTTGCTGTAATACGGTTATAGGTTCTGATGATGGATGAAGAAGCAACCGAAATGTTAATGTATACGTAAACCGGATATCCAATGTGAGAATTAGTAACACAAGACCTGTGTTCCTGTGATCTCTGGTTATCTGTGATAATACTCGTGCTGTCTCACCCCCTCACACACACACACACGATCAAATCTTCTGTTGTGGGACTGTGACACACCTGGCCACACACCTGGCCACACACCTGGCCACACACCTGGCCACACACACCTGTCTGAATACGTCGATCCTCCTGGCGACTGTCAGGTGGGTAACTATGCTAATAATACTGGATATTCCTGATGAGTGTTAGTCTGTAGGTTGTGCAGGTGTGGTTGTTCTACCTGTTATATATGCTAGATCCGAAATCTTTAAATTTTAAGTACAAAACTTCGATAACATTTGCGGTTAACAGTGTGTCTGTCAGACCTTAACTTGTATCTTACAAAATTTGTCTCTATTCTACGTAAATTACAAGCTGGTGATGATGCACAGATCAACAAAACTGTTACTTTCATTAGAAATAAACCTATTAACCCTTAATCAGATATTATAAGTTAGGATTGAAACCTTTTAAATATTTAAAAAAATGACAAACAAAAAAATCTATTTGATATTTAGAGATTCGACTACACTAAATAACGACTGGAAACCCATTTACTGGGATGCGATGCAGACTATGGTAAATTTTCTTCTCAGTGTTCAAAATCAAAGAGCAGAGACGCCTCTAAGGCTGGAAATGGAAATATAATCTTTTCCTGGAAACATTGGCCTGGTACTGTTACATATAGTGCGATTAAACAGTGCAGAGTTCTACATTACGCCAGTAAACCTCCCTTCGTGGGGTGGCTGTGGTGGATGCCAGTAAACCTCCCTTCGTGGGGTGGCTGTGGTGGATGCCAGTAAACCTCCCCTCGTGGGGTGGCTGTGGTGGATGCCAGTAAACCTCCCTTCGTGGGGTGGCTGTGGTGGATGCCAGTAAACCTCCCCTCGTGGGGTGGCTGTGGTGGATGCCAGTAAACCTCCCTTCGTGGGGTGGCTGTGGTGGATGCCAGTAAACCTCCCCTCGTGGGGTGGCTGTGGTGGATGCCAGTAAACCTCCCCTCGTGGGGTGGCTGTGGTGGATGCCAGTAAACCTCCCCTCGTGGGGTGGCTGTGGTGGATACCAGTAAACCTCCCCTCGTGGGGTGGCTGTGGTGAATGCCAGCCAAATTTAATGGAATAGATAATCTGGCATTTTAAAATGGAACATTGAAATTCTATAAGCACGGTCGTACTACAGCAAGGGTTGCAGTCCACACCAGTGGTGGACAAGTTTATCGCGTTATGTTAGTGACATGCTCACTTATGACCAATATAAGTGGAATTTAATAGTGGAAGAGCGTGAAGGGGCAGTTTGATATAATTTGTAGTAGTATTGTAGTAGCAGCAGCGGGTTTTATGAATCGCCCCTTTTCTCTTAAGGTTTTTTTTTCAGTATGGAGGGCAGGGCAAGATCATGGTTCATTCTTCTCACCTTTCGTGTCTAGACACGGGGAAATAATGACTGGACACCTTTGGAAATAAATGGTATAAAATACCGACACAATGGAAATATAAACACATTATACTGCATTTGTGTTTATATTTCCACTGGACACCTTTTTTCAGATAACCATAAAGACTTTTCTCTGCCTCTGCGTCACGTTGGCTTGCTGTGTCCCCCCCCTGACCTCCATCACTGAGGCTGGGTGCACCCTAAACATTCTCTCCTGGTACTGATGAACCTAAGCTTCCTGCAACTCTTTACATCGTGTGTTAGCCCACACCACTGCTGACGTGTGTGTGTGTGTGTGTGTGTGTGTGTAATTCTGTGAATGTGTACCCTCTCTCTCCCCCCTCTCTCTCTCTCCCCTCTCTCTCTCCCCTCTCTCTCTCCCCTCTCTCTCTCCTCCTCCTCTCCTCCCCTCTCTCTCTCCCTCCTCCCCTCTCTCTCTCCCCTCTCTCTCTCCCCTCTCTCTCTCCCCTCTCTCTCTCCCCCTCCCTCTCTCCTCCCCTCTCTCTCTCCCCCTCCCCCCTCTCCCCCTCTCTCCTCTCCCCCTCTCTCTCTCCCCTCTCTCTCCCCCTCTCTCTCCCCTCTCTCTCTCCCCTCTCTCTCTCTCCCCTCTCTCTCTCCCTCTCTCTCTCCCCCTCTCCTCCCCTCTCTCTCTCTCTCCCTCTCCCCCTCTCTCCCCCCTCCCCTCTCTCCTCCCCTCTTTTCCCCTCTCCCCTCTCTCTCTCCCTCTCTTCTCTCCCTCCTCTCCCCCCTCTCCTTCTTCCTCTCTCCCTCTCTCTCCCCTCTCTCTTCCCCTCTCTCTCCTCTCCCTCTCTCTCCCCTCTCTCTCCCCTCTCCCTCTCCCCCTCTCTTCTCTCTCTCCTCTCTCTCTCCCTCCTCTCTCTCCCCCTCCTCTCTCCCCCCTCTCTCCCCCTCTCCCTCCCCCTCCCCTCTCTCCCATCTCCTCTCCTCTCTTCTCCTTCTCCCCTCTCTCTCTCCCTCTCTCTTCTCCCTCCTCCCTCTCTCTTCCCCGCCTCTTCTCCTTCCCCTCCCCCTCTCTCTTCCCCTCTGACTTCCTACCCCCTCTCTCCTCCTCTCTCTCCCTCCCCTCTCCCCATCTCGATCTTCTTCACACCTTTCTCCCTTTACTCCTCCTCTGCTTCTACTCCCCCCTCTCCCCTCCTCATCTAACCCTTCTCATTCCCCTCTCTCCTCCTTTCATTCCCAAAGTACTAATTGTCCTACTAGATATTTGGCACTTCTACCTCCGCATGGTATACCTTTTGCAACTCTGTATCCTCTTCGTCCCCCATACTGCTCCTCTCGGCTTTCTATCATGCCCCAACACTAGTCAATTAGGTCACTAAACTAACTTTCAATTCTCTTGCATACTTCCTACACTGCCACGATACCCAAATCACCTCGCCTTCTCCCACATTTGCCAGGACACCATAGAGCATTCCTTCTACATTGACTATCTACAGCATTTACCTACAGTGCTGGCAATTATCCACCATCCTGTTCTCAGTATTAGTAATTCTCAAATTTCCTCTAGGTTCTTATATTTTCGCCGGGAAAAAAGTTTAAATCTAATTGGATGTGAATAAGAGAAGTAGTTTGGAAACTTCTATAGAAGTGAGTCAGTCTGGGTGCAACTGTAGTGCCACTGGTCGAGGTGCCATGCCAGTACTAGCTTGCTACACGCGATGCCTCTCTGCTGACAGTGCCTCCAGACAAAGAACTAGAACCTACTGGAGAGAGTGATAGTGCTTCCAGACCAAAAGCTAGAAGCTTTCAATTCTCTTGCATAATTGTTCAGCCAAGATAGCCAGAATTCACCAGGTGGCGGCTCTTAGCTCCCGAATTGAGGGAAGATGTGGAGAGCTGTGCTGTCAGTGACTTTGCTCCTGGCAGCTGTCCCCAGTGCCAGACTCCTCAACAATCTGCCGGAATTCTCTCTCGAAGATGCAGTGAAAGACATCCTTGCAGATGATCTCAATACTACCTGGGCGAGGGAGGAGAAAGTGCGTCTAGGATACTCGAAGGACATCCTGAAGGACGCCCTAGATGAGAACAACGTGAAGAAAAATACTGAGGATCTCATTAAGAGCATCTGGGAAGAACGGAAGACGGCAGGTAAAGGCAGCCTCAGGGTGGAGAGGAACACTGAGGCGAGTATGGAAGAAATCTGTAGCTGCTTCCAAGGGAACGGAGATTCATGCTCCAATGGAAGTAAGGTAAAATTACTCCTTTTTCTCATGTGTGCAAAGTTTACCATTGTCGTGGGATAAATTACATAATTTCAATAATTACTGTGATAGCATAGGGAAAAAATACTCCAAACAGTATTAAACTAATTTTAATGTCATCAGTAGTTCCCAAACTTGAGGTCGCGACCAGAATGAGAGTCGCTGGTATGTTTGAGAGAGTCACGGCTTCGTTATCTCGCGAAGAGGTCTGGAGGGACGGGGAAGGGGGGATAGGAAGCTTAAGTTGTTGAAAAACTTTGTGTAAATTAAGTCTGTGGATAAACGAATGAACGAGTGACAGTGGCTGAACGAGTCAGAGTAATGTAAAGGCGTTGAGCAAAGTCCGATATTTTAACGAGTGAATTTAAGTGGCAGAGAACAAAAATGCGCAATACCGTAACTGGAACAATACACAAATAACCCTCACATAAGAGACAGAAACTTATAACGACGTTTCGGTCCAACTTCGACTATTAAAAAATAGGCCTGGTGGCTAAAGTTCCTGCTTCACAAACGGAGGGCCCGGGTTCGATTCCCGGCGGGTGGAAACATTTCGATACGTTTCCTTACACCTGTTGTCCTGTTCACCTAGCAGCAAATAGGTACCTGGGTGTTAGTCGACTGGTGTGGGTCGCATCCTGGGGGACAAGATTAAGGACCCCAATGGAAATAAGTTAGACAGTCCTCGATGACGCACTGACTTTCTTGGGTTATCCTGGGTAGCTAACCCTCCGGGGTTAAAAATCCGAACGAAATCTTATCTTATCTTATCTTATCTTACATCAGAGATTAAGACAGAGAGGAACACCGCGCACAAAGTTTTGGAGTCTGTAGTTACCCTGTACAACAACTTGTGTCGTACAGAAACACAACGTGAAGGAAAAGCTTTATACATAGTTTAATGTGAACAATTATTCATAATATAACAATATGAAGATACTTAAGAAAAAAAGGTTAATAGTTTCGTGTTAAGTAAACATTTTTTTTTTAAATAAGCATGCTAATTTATGCAAAAGTTGCAAACAGATAATCAGGAATAACTTGTTTCAACAGTAGGAAATTCACCATCAAGGAAGTCTGGTTATCAAGTCTGGTTATCAAGTCTGGTCATCAAGTCTGGTCAGTATGTCTGGTTATCAAGACTGGTTATCAAGTCTGGTCATCAAGTCTGGTCATCAAGTCTGGTCAGTATGTCTGGTTATCAAGTCTGGTTATCAAGACTGGTTATCAAGTCTGGTTATCAAGTCTGGTTATCAAGACTGGTTATCAAGTCTGGTTATCAAGTCTGGTTATCAAGTCTGGTTATCAAGACTGGTTATCAAGTCTGGTTATCAAGTCTGGTTATCAAGTCTGGTTATCAAGTCTGGTTATCAAGTCTGGTTATCAAGTCTGGTTATCAAGTCTGGTTATCAAGTCTGGTTATCAAGTCTGGTTATCAAGTCTGGTTATCAAGTCTGGTCATCAAGTCTGGTCATCAAGTCTGGTCATCAAGTCTGGTCATCAAGTCTGGTCATCGAGTCTGGTCATCGAGTCTGGCCATCGAGTCTGGCCATCGAGTCTGGCCATCGAGTCTGGCCATCGAGTCTGGCCATCGAGTCTGGCCATCGAGTCTGGCCATCGAGTCTGGCCATCGAGTCTGGCCATCGAGTCTGGCCATCGAGTCTGGCCATCGAGTCTGGCCATCGAGTCTGGCCATCGAGTCTGGCCATCAAGTCTGGCCATCAAGTCTGGCCATCAAGTCTGGCCATCAAGTCTGGCCATCAAGTCTGGCCATCAAGTCTGGCCATCAAGTCTGGCCATCAAGTCTGGCCATCAAGTCTGGCCATCAAGTCTGGCCATCAAGTCTGGTCATCAAGTCTGGCACCATTATGGTCTTGATGCCCAGCCCACTCTGGGACGTTGATATTTAACTCTTACAATGGCAATATAATCACTTTTAATTAAGTATAACACTAAATTACTTTACCAAAAAAAAAATAGGTTGTCTCAATACCTGGAGACTTTTAGGCTACCTGTAAAATAATGAAAAAAAAACAGATTTACAAAATATACAAGTGACAGTAAATATTAACTCGAGTACCACTTGGAAGGCACCTTTGTTTACCCCTTGAGGCACCTTTGTTTACCCCATGAGGCACCTTTGTTTACCCCATGAGGCACCTTTGTTTACCCCATGAGGCACCTTTGTTTACCCCTTGAGGCACCTTTGTTTACCCCATGAGGCACCTTTGTTTACCCCTTGAGGCACCTTTGTTTACCCCTTGAGGCACCTTTGTTTACCCCATGAGGCACCTTTGTTTACCCCATGAGGCACCTTTGTTTACCCCATGAGGCACCTTTGTTTACCCCTTGAGGCACCTTTGTTTACCCCATGAGGCACCTTTGTTTACCCCATGAGGCACCTTTGTTTACCCCATGAGGCACCTTTGTTTACCCCATGAGGCACCTTTGTTTACCCCATGAGGCACCTTTGTTTACCCCATGAGGCACCTTTGTTTACCCCATGAGGCACCTTTGTTTACCCCATGAGGCACCTTTGTTTACCCCATGAGGCACCTTTGTTTACCCCATGAGGCACCTTTGTTTACCCCATGAGGCACCTTTGTTTACCCCATGAGGCACCTTTGTTTACCCCATGAGGCACCTTTGTTTACCCCTTGAGGCACCTTTGTTTACCCTTGAGGCACCTTTGTTTACCCCATGAGGCACCTTTGTTTACCCCATGAGGCACCTTTGTTTACCCCATGAGGCACCTTTGTTTACCCCATGAGGCACCTTTGTTTACCCCATGAGGCACCTTTGTTTACCCCTTTTGGTACTCGTACCCCCAGTTTGTGTACCTTTGTTCTATTGTACAATTCCTTGTGTTCCAAGTTTCGATCTGCTTTCCGGTGTATTTCATAAAAAGTAATCCAATTTAGGTTTCTTTTTTCTAAGTTTGAACGTTAATGGAAAAAACGGCCTAGCACAAATTCCATATAAGCCAGAATTTTTGAAACTTGGTTTCATTAAGCCGAGAAAACTAGCTGGGAATGTCCTACCCCAGTATTAAATGGTTTTACATATAAACATAATTTTTAAGGGGGTGGACCGGTAAAGCAGCGGAAGGCCTCGGTCAGATGACCAGAAGCTCCAACTTCGGGTCATAATCTAAGACCAGAGTTAGGAAACACTTGTTCTGTTTCCTGACGAACCTTGACTAACCTAATCTAACCTAACCTCCCCTCGTGGGGTGGCTGTGGTCTTCAGTGCCTGAAGACCTCATCAACGAATCTGTAAAGAAAAAGTTGAAACATCATTTTAGTTCGGGTTATCTAATTCTTGTTGAAAAACTCTTCATTAGAAAGATGAAATCAAGCGAAATGAGTCGTGCTCCTCGAGTTCAGCTTTTCTCTGTAGAAAATTTCCTTTTCATTAGTATGGAACAATCGAGATGCAAAAAAGCCTCAAAACATTGGAAAAGAAATGGAGAGGCCAGTAACAGAGGTAATGGTGCAACTAAACTAAAGTCACTACCTCTTAACTTCTATAATATAACACGTCGAAGTGACCTCAAGTCAGAAGTTATGGTTCAACTTATGGTGGCGTTGAAAAGACACTGGGAATATTTCATTGCGTACGGATGGATCTGTGGAAATTGCAGATGACAGTCATCTCCAGATTTATGACGTATAAAGAAGGCATCACAAAAGTTTTTTTTACAATTCCCTGGAGAAGACATCGTCAACATCTTGAAAGATATCTTTCAAGAAGCCTGACCTTGAGTGGTTAAACTGTTTGTATACACTGACAGAGCTCCATCTGTGAAAGCAATTTGGGATTTGTCACTCACTATAAACAATGCAGAAAATCCCGACGTCTTAATGACTCTCTGGTTATTACATTTGCTGTATAGCCCTTGTGGCTTAGCGCTTCTTTTTGATTATAATAATCTGGTTATTATATCGGGAAAATCTTTCCTCTGGAAGTGTGTAACTGCACTCTGTGGTTCTCAATGATGGAGTCCAAATTGTGATTTTCGTCAAGGCCACGACTTTGAACTCAAAAGGATTTACAGGTTTTGCTGGAATCACAACTCAATGAGCCAAGTGGCTCCTCAGCATGACAAGTGTAGTGCTCTCTTCTTCAACATAAACTGGAAGACTCTCACAAACAAACAAAGAAGCATCATGGTAGACACTGATTATTTTTGTTCACATATATCTACAATAATAAATTCGCAATTTCATTAAAACTTTGTACATTTCGTCTGATTAAAAAGTTGCTGAAATTAATTTTGATTAGTTATATAAAAATTTATCGCCATAAAAAACTTAGACTTCCTCCTAAGAACAAACTGACATAGCAGGAGCCAAAATAAAATATTTTAATTATATACCCAATTTTGTAAATTTCTTTCTCTCACTGTGTACTCAGATGTATTCACCTCTGTACTCAACTAGATGTATTCACCTCTGTACTCAACTAGATGTATTCGCCTCTGTACTCAACTAGATGTATTCACCTCTGTACTCAACTAGATGTATTCACCTCTGTACTCAACTAGATGTATTCGCCTCTGTACTCAGCTAGATGTATTCGCCTCTGTACTCAACTAGATGTATTCACCTCTGTACTCAACTAGATGTATTCACCTCTGTACTCAACTAGATGTATTCACCTCTGTACTCAACTAGATGTATTCACCTCTGTACTCAACTAGATGTATTCACCTCTGTACTCAACTAGATGTATTCACCTCTGTATTCAACTAGATGTATTCACCTCTGTACTCAACTAGATGTATTCACCTCTGTACTCAACTAGATGTATTCACCTCTGTACTCAACTAGATGTATTCACCTCTGTACTCAACTAGATGTATTCACCTCTGTACTCAACTAGATGTATTCACCTCTGTATTCAACTAGATGTATTCACCTCTGTACTCAACTAGATGTATTCACCTCTGTACTCAACTAGATGTATTCACCTCTGTACTCAACTAGATGTATTCACCTCTGTACTCAACTAGATGTATTCACCTCAGTGAGTTTACAGGGGGCTGATTCACAGTTCATAGCCCCGTCTGTTAGATCTTAACAATGTAAGATTAGTAATACTAATTTTATTTTTGCTTAAAAAGAAATACCTTGTAAACATTAGACTCCTCACGAACTAAGAGGGTTATAAATAACACCGCATCATGTCGTGTCGGTTCCAGTGTTATCTAACCCCAAACAAGACACTGGTCATTTTCATTAATACTGACACTATCACGTATCATGGTGCTGTTAACAGTGAAAGTGTATCAAGTAGCGGCGCAGTTGCCAGTGTAAAACTAACACTGAATAAAAGGGTAATTTTAGAGGTCAAACACACTTGGTGTAATAGTTTTCCTAATTGTCCTCAGCTTATTGGTGATGTGATGATGTGTGTGGAAGGGGAGAATCCAGTGTTCCTTCCCTATTGTTGCTGAAGAATTTCTGATATATCTGATGCAAATATTTGAGCATGTCTGGTGCTGGAGCATGTATCTTAGGTAATGATCCAGACTGATTACAGATATACGGACCCTTCGTGAGAAATGGAGTGTGCCATGGTGGTAACATGTGGAGAAAACGCCGGCGAGGAGCTGACAGGGTAAGCCACACACCCTCACGCACCAGCCACACACCCTCACGCACCAGCTCCACACCCTCACGCACCAGCTCCACACCCTCACGCACCAGCTCCACACCCTCACGCACCAGCCACACACACTCCCCACACACCAGCCACACACCCTCACGCACCAGCCACACACCCTCACGCACCAGCCACACACCCTCACGCACCAGCCACACACCCTCACGCACCAGCCACACACCCTCACGCACCAGCCCCACACCCTCACACACCAGCCACACACCCTCACGCACCAGCTCCACACCCTCACGCACCAGCTCCACACCCTCACGCACCAGCCACACCCCCCCACACACCAGCCACACCCCCCCACACACACCAGCCACACCCCCCCACACACCAGCCACACACCCTCACGCACCAGCCACACACCCTCACGCACCAGCCACACACCCTCACGCACCAGCCACACACCCTCACGCACCAGCCACAACACCCTCACGCACCAGCCACACACCCTCACGCACCAGCCACACACCCTCACGCACCAGCCACACACCCTCACGCACCAGCCACACACCCTCACGCACCAACCCCACACCCTCACGCACCAGCTCCACACCCTCACGCACCAGCTCCACACCCTCACGCACCAGCTCCACACCCTCACGCACCAGCCACACACCCTCACGCACCAGCCACACACCCTCACGCACCAGCTCCACACCCTCACGCACCAGCTCCACACCCTCACGCACCAGCTGCACACCCTCACGCACCAGCTGCACACCCTCACGCACCAGCTGCACACCCTCACGCACCAGCTGCACACCCTCACGCACCAGCTGAACACCCTCACGCACCAGCTGAACTCCCTCACGCACCAGCCACACACCCTCACGCACCAGCCACACACCCTCACGCACCAGCCACACACCCTCACGCACCAGCTCCACACCCTCACGCACCAGCTGCACACCCTCACGCACCAGCTGCACACCCTCACGCACCAGCTGCACACCCTCACGCACCAGCTGCACACCCTCACGCACCAGCTGAACACCCTCACGCACCAGCTGAACACCCTCACGCACCAGCCACACACCCTCACGCACCAGCCACACACCCTCACGCACCAGCCACACACCCTCACGCACCAGCCGCAACCTCACACACTAGCCACACCTCACACACTAGCCACACCTCACACACTAGCCACACTTCACACACTAGCCACACCTCACACACTAGCCACACCACACTAGCCACACCTCACACACTAGCCACACACCCCCACACCAGCTACTCAACCCCCACACCTTCACACCAACTACTTCCCCACACCAGCCACATCCCCTACACCAGCCACACCCACCACACTAGCCAATAATTCATTTCTTAACTGTTTTCATCAATTTTCAACATATATTACTAATCCGTAAAAATTCCAAACCACAGTTTATATCATAGAGGCGAAAAGTGCAGATGTTTCCTCTGTTGTGTGACTTTATAGTCACATTTTTTTCTCTCCTGATCTTTAGTATCTAAGTCTATTGTTGTTCTGTCACTGTGGATAAGACTATTGTCTGTATTGATGCTTTTGTTGATAGTTAATACGGATACAAGCCATTGAATCAAGCATTGCCAGTAACTCATCCAGGTTTCCAGTTTCTTTATTAAGGTTTCGGATGTTTCTTCATCCATCATCAGAATCTGAAATGTATTACAGGAAAAGTAAGACACTATTTAAAAAAAGAAAAAAATCTTACATACCATGAAGTGTTAAGTAATAGTCTTAAAAAAAAAAGAACTCCAGTATGTATATATTAAATTTCTGAGACTATTAACCCCTCAAGGAAGGTTCCTTGATGTTGGTGAGGGGCTCTTGATTTAGGGAATTGGATCTGTGCTCCAGTTCCCCGAATTAAGCCTGAATGCCTTCCACATCCCCCCCCCCAGGCGCTGTATAATCCTCCGGGTTTTGCGCTTCCCCCTTGATTATAATAATAATAATCTGAGACTATTAAGCTTTTGAAGTCACTAGTCAATACAGCACAGTGAAAATTGACCATTAATTGAAAAATAGTTTTGCGTTTTGGTTTAGCGACCCCCCTCACCCCCCCATGGATGTTCATCTACCCCTTTTTCCCGATATATTTGAAGAGATAATTTATAAAGTCAGTTTTTATTGGGACTCTGTATTAATAAGCGATTTTTCTGCAACTTTATCTTTAACTTCAACCCACAAATACCTTAATTATCTGATGATTTTGTTGATAATCTTAATATATCCACAGAGTGACACAGAATATGAACCACAGCTGTCTCAAAGCCTGTGTCAGGGCGACCAGCTGCTCGTCTTCGCCTCCTCTGGTACAGAACCTTGGCTGATGGTGGGTCACACCCCAGTTCTTTACATCTGTCCTGGCAGCCTTAGCTCCAGTCTTGAACATCTCTCAATCTTCAAGGTGGGGGAGGTGAAGGTATCTCCAGGAGCTCTACAACCCCGAAACACCAGTCTTGTTATAAATGTGTCAGAAATAGAGAAGACATTTATACTGCCTGAAGGGGCGTTCTCATTTCAAACCATTGACCCCAGCAATAACAAGTTTTCTATTGATTATCAAGATATTAATGCTCCGGCAGAGATGCAGCTTATAATAGAACAGGCAGCAGAAGTGATGTACGAGCCTCGAAGTATTGTAGCTCCGCGTATTTTTCTCAGCATGAAGAGTGTGAGAATCATACGTTTTTGTTCCCGAGCCATCATACCTTACATCCAGCCAGAGGCATCATTCCTTGAGGTTAAACTGACTGACATTCTAGTGGTAGAGACTCAAGCTATAAATATAGGAGATTTTAAAGCTATAAATATAAAAGAGCTGACACTGAAAGAAGCGTCGGTAGATGTGGCCAGTGATGGCGGTGGAGAAGTAATCTTCGAAGGTATTGAAAATGCTGTTCTCGAAGGGGCCGCCATGGCGCTCTCTCCCAGTGTCTCGCTCATACTGAATAATGTGAACATAAACTTTGCGGGTCATCGCGCCATATTTAACTACAACACCTCAGTTGCACCTCTTCTCAAGGTTCACCTGCAGAACCTTACAATCTCAACGCTGGCAAGTGCTGCGTTTTGCCTGGATGTTGCAAGTGCTTTTCTTGACAACGTGATGGCTGCAGATGGGGACGAAATATTTGCTTGCCTTCAGACTGGATTTCTGATGAGTGACGATGAGTGGCCAGGTATGGTGACCTGCTCAGGTCATCACCACTACCATAACAGTGCACTGTGTGGTGACCCTCGCTGCGAGTCCTGCCTCTCCGATCCCCCAAGTCAGTATAATTGTGTTCTAGTATTTAGTTACTAATTTATCCTAGGCACATGTCCCTTGGACACTAAGCCTGTTGTATATACGTCCGTGTGAGTTGTGTGTATATGTGTGTGTATGTGCATGTGTATACGTGCTGCCCGATTCATAAAGGAGGAGACCAAACAGACTTGAATAACTATAGGCTAATATCCAACTTACACCCTCTCTCTAAAATCTTCGAAAAATTAATTCATCAGTGAATCTATTCCTATCTCATCTCCCACAACATACTCAACCCCTGTCAATTTGGGTTCAGGCCTAATAAAAATACTAATGATGCTATTATACACATGCTAGAACATATATACACTGCAATAGAGAAAAAAGAAGTCCCACTGGGGATCTTCATTGACTTACGTAAAGCTTTTGATACAGTTGACCATGACTTGCTCCATATAAAATTGTCAACTACCTAAAGTCATATCTCAGCAACAGAAGCCAATATGTGCACACAAATGGGGCAAACTCTTCCGCACAGCCAATTACAATTGGTATCCCACAGGGAAATGTCCTTGGCCCTCTTCTTTCTCATATACATAAATGACCTACCAAATGCATCGCAACTACTCAAACCCACATTATTTGCAGATGACACTACATACGTCTTCTCTCACCCGAGCCCAGTCATGCTAGCCAATACTGTAAATACCGAATTACAGAAAATATCTACTTGGATGAGGACTAACAAACTTACACTAAACATTGACAAAACCTACTTCATTCAGTTTGGTAACAGAGCTACAGATGTCCCTCTTAACATAATGATAAACGGATCACCTATCACAAAACTCACAGAGGGAAAATTCTTAGGAATCCACCTTGATAATAGACTCAAATTTCAAACACATATACAACAAATTTCCAAGAAAATTTCCAAGACCGTAGGCATACTATCGAAGATACGGTACTATGTTCCACAGTCAGCCCTCCTGGCCCTATATCATTCACTTATTTACCTCTATCTCACCTATGGAATTTGTGAATGGGGCTTAACAACAATAAACCATCTGAGACCACTAATTACCCAACAAAAGGCTGCAGTCAGAATGATGATAAATTCCCACTACAGGCAGCACACTCCAACAATATTCAAAACTCTAAACCTACTCACTATACAAAACATCCATACTTATTACTGCACCTATTACATACATAGAACACTTAACTCTGATATTAACCCTCCCCTCAAACATCTCCTTGCCAATCTCAACAGAACACATGACCATAACACAAGACACAGATCACTCTTTGATGTTCCTCGTGTCCATTTCACACTATGCAAAAACTCAATGCACATAAAAGGCCCTAAAATCTGGAATTCATTACCTGTAAATATAAAAGAAACACTGTCTGTTTATAAATTCAAGTCTCTTCTCAAAAATCACTTACTCACCCACAACCAAATAAATACTGAATAATTGTATCTTAAAAATTGTATCTCATAAATGTTTAACCTGATACCCAATCAAACTTTATTTTTTAATTACATTACCCAACAGAATACTCCATTCTACTGAATGTTCAGCAACAAAGTAAATGACCATATGACCTGTCTTTGTAATACTCATTTGTACTTAATTGTTATCTGTTTACAATAATGTTTTACCACTGAATATATCACTGCTTAGTTAATCTAAAGTTAATTTTAAGCCTGCCCATAATGCTCTGCATACAAGGGGCTTTGGCATGTTACACTTAACTGTATTCATTTGTACTACTCTGTATCATGTTCAAATAAATAAATAAATTGTGTGTGTGTGTGTGTGTGTGTGTGTGTGTGTGTGTGTGTGTGTGTGTATGTGTGTGTGTTGTGTGTGTGTGTGTGTGTGTGTGTGTGTGTGTGTGTGTACACGTACGTACGAGATCTAAATGATGGCAGTCACAGGAAAAAAGTGAAATATATTTTCCTAGGGAAAGTCACGGGAAATATCTTTTTTAAATGTGCCAACAGGTTAGGTTAATTTATTATTTATTATTTATTTATTTATTTATTAGATATTCCTGAAAATGTGCTCTTTTAAAAGCTTACCTGATTTGCTTTTCTTCCTCTAACTTTCCGTTTTTATTTTAGCCATACCTCGAGAACTCCTCATCCAAAAGGTTTCAAATTTTTATCTCAAGTGTACGGTAATAGGTTCCAAATTCTTGGCACAGTTGGCTTGTTCACGTAACCTATGATCAAAGTCACTGAACTCGTTTCTAGCATCCTGGAACAGATCAGATAACCTCCAAAATCCTCAGTTGTGATCTTCAAACAAGTTGCCTCGTAATTCAATAACGACGACAGTGTGTGTAATTAAAGTGTCGCTGCAGATCTGGTTATTTTGTGTGTAAACTAGAGTATAAATTTTGTTCCCACCAAATCATGTTAAGGAAATTTCAGTTTCCCTCTTCTAAACGCCTTCAGTGTTTAATAGTTGATGTGGAAGAATTGAGACACTTATGCAACACATGGGAATCTTTATTGAAGAAACGTTTCGCCACACAGTGGCTTCATTAGTCCAATACAAAGTAGAAGTGGGTAACGAGAGTAGAAGTTTGAGGTAATCAGTCCCTCAACCTGGAAACGATGTGTTGAGTCCATCACTCTTGTAGGAAGCGCAGCATAGGGCCAGAGAGGTGGCTTATGTACTGCAGTGAGATGAGTTGAAGCAGGAGGAGGCGGGATCACAGTGGGACCTGCCACTAGTGTAAGTAGGTCGTCGTCCAAAGGTTGGGCAAGCGTTGAAGTCTTTGTACCAAGATCCCATGATGTTGCAGTGTCTGACAGATGTGACGAATGGTTTTGAAAACAGACAATTTGAAAAATTGAGACACTTATGTAACACATGGGAATCTTTATAAGTGTCTCAATTCTTCAACTTGTCGGTTTTCAAAACCATTCGTCACAAATAGTTGATGTATCTTAGAGCCAGGAGAATATCCATTAACTTTGTCTGCTTTCATTCAAATTTGTCTATCCTCCATAACTGGAGAATGACTCGTCTGATCGGCCTCAAATTCTCACCACTAGTGGTTTTCTGAACACAAGGTTCACGCTGCTATTGGACGGTTTAACCAAGTCCAAATTGATAAGTTATTAGACCCATTCCATGAATCTTGGAATGGGTTGTAAGAATGTGGTCACAAAAAGCATGTAAATGTCAAAATTTGCATAATGTTGCCCTGGTTACCGTATAGCTAAGGCAACCAAGACGGGACTAACAGCGATGGATTCTAGTTGGACAGTCCTCAAGGGAGGCTCCTTGATGCCGGTGAAGAGCTCTTGATTCAAGGAATCGGACTCGTTCTTTACTTTCTTGGACTCGAGCCGATAGCTTCTTATATATCATGTCAAACACACGTAGCACAATGAGCTTTTGTTTATACTCGACTGGGAACCTCTAAGTTCTAGGTCTGGGAACCGGGGGAGGGGGGGGGAATTTGGGGTAAAAATTAAAATTTCGGGTGTAATGAAGGCTCAGTAAAATAAATAAAATTGCAAAAGAAATTGTTAATTTTTTATTTCAATTCAAATTTTGCTTTATCGTGTATAATACATATTTTTTCAGTTTATATGACTGCATTCTCCATACAAGTGAATTCAATAAACTATTTTGAATTTGAATGCCCCTTGTGTTTTATGCATTCTGTGGACTTTAAAGTCCAGTTGGGAATTTCGCTGTACACAAATTTGTTTTGGGGTGACTTAAAAAAAAAAAAAAAAAAAAAAAAATGTCGACCTCTGCTCTGAGCACTTGCCTTAATCTTTTTTTCCTTTATATTTCGGTCACAACACGAGAAGTCTTTAGCTGATCAGCTGTTAAATTTTCAGTACTAGTGTACGATAACTAGGGCAAAATTCGTACAATTGTTGGCATGTGTAAGTGACCTCCTGATTGTTATGGAACCCATTGAAGATTTTTGGAAAGAGACTGATAATTTTCAAAAGCCTCTGCTGCTTGGCTTCAAACACCGAACCCCTCAAGGAAGGCTCCTTGACGCTGGTGAGGGGCTCTTGATCTAGGGAATTGGATCTGTGCTCCAGTTCCCTGAATTAAGCCTGAATGCCTTCCATCCCCCCATAGGCGCTGTATAATCCTACGGGTTTAGTGCTTCCCCCTTGATTATAATAATAATAATTCAAACACCGAAAAAAAAAAAAGTGCCTCCTACTTGGACCATGGACGAGTTAAATTGCCCCGTGTAGGTTTATATTTACCACTGTTTTCTAACATTATTCCCGTATCACGTTTAATATATTATTGTCCCTTTTTTGAACAGCTTCAGTACTTAATGGATACTATACACAAATAACCCGCACATAAAAGACAGAAGCTTACGACGACGTTTCGGTCCGACTTGGACCATTGACAAAGTCACACTGTGTGACTTTGTCAATGGTCCAAGTCGGACCGAAACGTCGTCGTAAGTTTCTGTCTTTTATGTGCGGGTTATTTGTGTATCGTTCCAGTCACGGTATTGTGCCTTTTTGTTATTTATTAATGGATACTATTCTCTACATAAAATGCCTCAACCATTAAGTTAAATTTGATATATTGACAAATTTGCTTTCATAGACCATGTAAAACCTGCAATCGTTGAAATCCTTTGAATTACCTAGAAAATACCTCTTCTGATCGGCTTTCAATTTTCAGTCCTGTTTTTTTTTTTTTTTCAGAAAGTAAGATTAACGTTATTCGGGTCCATAAGTCCCAGTTTACTAATTATGTTAAATGGAAATCAATATCATATTTTATTGAATAATTAGAAAAAGCCTCCTCACATTACCTTCAAAATATTAATGTTTATGCCTTATAAAGTCTAGGCTGAATAAGTCCAAATTAGTAATTTTTGCGGACATTGTTAAAAAACTTGAAATTATTGAAATTTAGATAAATTACTGGTGAACGCTTTTTCCGAAAGAATTCAAACTTTCGGTGTTGGTGGGATTTTTTTTTTTAAAGACTGATTTTCACTTTGATCTGCGTAAATTTTATTTTTTTTTCAGTTTTATTAACTACATAAGTTTCCATGTGACTGGAAAATCTTGATCGGCTTCAAACTCTTAATTAAACGATAATGTATCCTGATTGCAAGTTTTATTGCAATGAATTTGTGTTGCAGAAACAAAACAAATACGATATTAATTATGGACATAGTAGATTATAGTGAAAAAAATTAACATGTTAGAAAACGGGGGAACTTACGTGCCCATTAATGGAGTGTTTTGTGTGCCTTTTTTTGCCATTTATAATCTGTAAATGGTAGAGTACAATTTTACATTAACTGGATTGTTAGGTAAGACACATATGCAACAGTTAGACAACTTTATTCCGAAACGTTTCGCCTACACAGTAGGCTTCTTCAGTCGAATACAGAAAGTAGGCAGGAACAGTAGTGATTTGAAGACGATGTAATCAGTCCATCACCCTTGAAGTCGTAGAATTTGAGGTTGTCAGTCCCTCGGCCTGGAGAAGTTCAGTTCCATAGTCAGGAACTATATGAAGATCAAGCGACAGTGCGGAGACTTAAATACTGTCGGAAGGAGAGGTGCAGAGTAGTAGTAGTAGTAGTGAGAATGTAGCCACTGAGAGGTCATGTCCCTCTCAGATCCAACACTTCTCACTTGAAAAGCTTGTCCAAGGTGTTTTCTGTACCAAGATGCCATGTGTTGCAGTGTCTGACAAGATGAACATCAAAATGGTATACAATACCGACAGGTTGTTAGGTAAGACCCATATGCAACAGTTAGACAACATTAACTGGAGTATACATTCTCAGGGGGATCACCTTCGTCCTGCTGAGGGACTTTCGATTCAGGTCATGCTCCTGGATGGAACGCTAAACCCGTTTGGGTTACTGCTTAAAGGAATGGGAGGCATTCAGGTTCAGTCCACAGAAGGGAAGGATGTGTCTCATTCCTTGGATCAAGAGCCCCTCACAGATATCAAGGCAGCTCTCCTGAGGGAAGGCAAGAAACTAAGACTTATCCTACCCTTCCTTAGATTGAATTTGAACGCCTCCCATCCAAGATGTGTTATGACCCCTACAGGTCTAGCGCTCCCTTTCGATTAAAACTATTGTGAACATCATCAGTCTTTAATATCTGATGCAACTTATGATTTTACAGTTGTAAACAAAATTATTTATCCTGTATAGGTGAAGATATTGTTGGATTCTGCACAATAACTGAAGAATGCATCTTCAGGCTGCCTTTAAACTTTAGTGCTGACGGGTTTTTTTTTTTCCCCTTAGATGAAGCTATGCCTTGAGTTTAGATTGAGTAAATTTTAATGAACAAATTTTATTAAACGAAATAGTGTCCGTGGAGAATATCAGTGATCATAAATAAGTAAGTTTAACTTTACTGGGTTATGCTGGGTTAAATCTGCTTAATGTATCCTCAAAACCATTGTAAAAAATTATGTACTCAAAGCCTAAATAAAACTTGCGTAAATGCTGGTCAGACTTAAAGAAAAGTCTAGGTTGATTACGGCTCTTTAGATCCCAGTTTGCGTTTTTATGAAAGGCAATGGGAAAGTTAATGTTTTTTGTGCAATTTGAGTGCCTCGCCCAGTTGGATTCAACCCCTGAACATTGATACCTTGATAATGCAACTTCTGGGAAGCTTCAAACTTAATGTGATGTATTTTAGAATATTGCTCAGAGATAACAAGAAAATGCCTCTTCAGTTTGGCTTTAAAAAATGTTTCTTAATGGAAGATTGGAATTAGTTTAAGGCTGTAGTTGTTCTAACTTAATATTTTCATTGAAAAACACTGAGATGCCAGTTTCCATGTGATAATTTGTGAATGGCTTTTCCAGTCCTCTTCAGACCTTCAATGCTGATATTTAACTGTGTTAGAAACTTATGCTGCACTATCGTTATTGCATATACTGAGGTAGAGGTGACTGTGGTTGTCATAAGGGGGATACCGTTCTTGGATTCCTCAGTGAGTATTGTATATCTAGACTATGTTTTACCCAAATAGGGCTTTATCATGTCTGAACTTGATTAAAGCCTGATAAAACTCTAATTCAAAACATTATGCAAAAAGGCTGGATCTGCTACGTGTTTTTTTTTTTATGTCTTGTTTGATGGTTACTCTCTTCTCAATAAACGTCTTTAATACAACATTAGCCATACTTATGGAGAAGTAGCAATAGAGGCATTGTGTTTATTTGAGAACGTTTTAATAAACTACTGTCATAACTGCAGAATCAGCGTTGATGATGACACTACAAGCAGACTCCTTCACAGGTACATCAACACCAGTGGTGGATGTGGCAGCTCCCACTTCGTCTTCCTTTACCACCACATCACATCCCACTTACAACTCAACTACGGAAGCTTCACTATTAGGTATAGTTGCAGGAATGTTTCATTCCAATCTATATTAAATTAGAACTGTGATATTTAACCTCGGGATAGTTACCCCCCTCTCTGGGGGGTAACAAAAATAAATATAAATTTTATTTCCAAACTAATTACCTTAGTTTAGGGAAATATTCACAGTACAGTATTTTTTTGCAAAGCCTCTTGTTATGCATAGTATTTTGGGTAGACTAAACTTAATACCTATTACTAAATACTAGTACAAATATGAAGGTAATGTATTTAAAATGGAATAGTAGTTTTAGGAGCCAATTTAGCATATACATTTTCTGTATTTAGTTATGACTAAAGTAGTGAGACAAAAGTTTATTAAGTTGTATTTTAGACATGCATTCATGATCATTACATATATAATATACAAAATTTAATCAAACCAAATATTACAGCAGGTTCAGTAAGTTTTTTAACATTTTTAAAGCTCCTGGGAAAGTTTTTTTGTACCTTCAGGTAGGTTCCAGATATTGTGCTTGCTAGCATGCATGTGAGGGTCTTGATGTTATTGAGGCAAGTCTTGTGAAAAAGTGGACAGTCTCTTGTTCCGTAATATGTTAATGAGGTTGTGGTCTACTGTACCGTGAGGAATGCGTTAATTGTATAAAGTATTTTTATTATTGCATCATTTGTATTTTTTTTTTAGAGGGGGAGGGGCAGAAAGCAAAACGATGGGGGTTAATCACTATTACATTCATGGAGAGCACTAAGTTCGTAGGGGTTAGAGCCGCTGATAAGGGTTAAGAATATTGTTCTGTGAATTCATTCACTGCCTTGTATATTAGTATATAAGCATCTTGGTAGAGGCATGTTAAAAAGTGGTCTATAGTTATTGATTTCTGACTCTTAACAGCTGAAATATTTTTGAGGACATGTGCTTTCGGTTTTGGCAGTAGTTGGTGATAGAACATGTGTAGCTTTCTTGCATGTGAGCCAAGGACAAGTATATTTGCTTTATTTACCTTTTACCGAATTAGATTACCTCTTAAGGGAGAATTATTCTTATAACCAGGTGCAGCGCTAATCTCTTGTGGGACTTTTACCGAGGATGTTAGTTACAGTGAGCAGGTTGGGGCGTTGTTGATGACGGAAATGAATTCTGTGTGATCTGATAGATATGGCTGCCATTTGATATATGGTGAGCTGACAGTGCCACACGAGTCCTCGAAGAGGTGGCAGATGCCTGTCCGAGTGGCGCGCGCACACACGCACGCACGCACACACACACACACACACACACACACACACACACACACACACACACACACACACACACACACACACACACACACACACACACACACACACACACACACACGGGTGAATCACATGTGTCAGTAAGGTAATCGCATAAGTGTAGTTTCCCAAACCCTAGAGTAGTGGGGAAATGGTGGGTAGAAAGCCAATTGTACTTTGATATTATTATAATCAAAACTAAGCGCTAAACCCACTAGGGTCATACTGCGCTGCTGTACTTTGATAGATAATTCTTGTGTACTAACTCAGACTAACATTGCCGTTAGTTCCATAGTTGGTAAGAGAATAATGAAGAATATTCCCAGAAAGGAATCCCCATGTTAGAATTGAAAGTTGGGTAATAGCTGACCCAGTGATTAATGTTTTCATTGGCGTGTCTAGGGACCCAGAAAAAAACTTCATGCTTTACTAGACATGCGACATAATCAAATACGACTGAAAGAAATAAGAAGACTAGTACCCAAGGATGTCAGTGATGAAACATGGACACTGATGTCACCAGGCACAGCTGCTGTTGGTCGATGTTTTTTTTTTTTTGTGGATTGTGAAGGGCGGGTTATATGGGTTTTCAGTACAAGAGGCAGGACCTTATAAAGGACTTGACGTGTTCGAACCCTCCATTCGGTGAACTGAGAGGTAAAATTAAGTGGGCTGGACTCCCTTAGGTTTGGACTGAAGGAATGAAGGGAGAGTAGATGTAGCCCCTTGGAAACACGCACACTGTGATATCCAACTGCTGTGACAACTTTGACAGAGTCTGTAACACTTCCAACAGCAGCAGCTGTGAGTAACAGGCGCACGGTCTGGAGAGTATGTACGTGCCTGGTAGTTTTTGCACTTTTGCTCAAATAGCCACATACAGCAGAGGTGGTAGTAGTAGTAAATATAATGGAACGCCTAATCCCGCTATCTCTATGGCACCATAGGTGTTTGCTCATGTTTGTTTGAAAGCTAGGAATTGGTGTAGAGGTCTGTTGTAACGGTAGTCACCCGATGCAGCACATGAGGACCTTTTCGATAATATTTACCCGAGGTACCGAGGAATGCAAGTGTGGCTGCAGAGAGAATAGAAGTGATAAAAAAAATATAAAACTCGTCTACAGAAGATGAATCATAAGGAACAGGAAAAGAGGTGAAGCATGTGTAGAGTGCCCTAACTCTTCGTTCAAACTGCCAGTGGAAATGAAGCTTTGTGTAAAAAAAGAGAAGAAATGATAGCTGTCATGAAGATCATTACCACTGTCCAATCGAAGTCTTGTGATGTAATCAAGAGTAGTATACAGATGTAGGGATCTAATGTGTAAGGATATCAGCATTTGCAACCTGGAAAGGTAGAGAAAAACATCTATTCCCTGTGAGACCCAGAACAAGTGAGCATTAAAATCATCTGCTGAAAGGAGTGGTGCAGGACTAAAGATGAAATCAGAAAATGTAAATTTAGTAAAAATAATGGCTATAAGGGGGAATGATACAAGGAACCGACAGTGTACCACTTGTCTAAACAGACAAGTGCTGCAGTATAAGGAAGCTGAGTACGATCATTAAGGGGGAATGATACAAGGAACCGACAGTGTACCACTTGTCTAAACAGACAAGTGCTGCAGTATAAGGAAGCTGAGTACGATCATTAAGGGGGAATGATACAAGGAACCGACAGTGTACCACTTGTCTAAACAGACAAGTGCTGCAGTATAAGGAAGCTGAGTACGATCATTAAGGGGGAATGGTACAAGGAACCGACAGTGTACCACTTGTCTAAACAGACAAGTGCTGCAGTATAAGGAAGCTGAGTACGATCATTAAGGGGGAATGATACAAGGAACCGACAGTGTACCACTTGTCTAAACAGACAAGTGCTGCAGTATAAGGAAGCTGAGTACGATCATTAAGTCGAGATTCAGAAATATCATTGCGCACAATAATAAGCGCATTTTTACTGTATGTCTCAACGGGATCAAAATCAAGTACCTGTAAGGAAACATGGTTGTTTCTTTACAATTGCTTGAAAAGAATTCCGACTACTTCGTAGTTTTGGTTCTTGTAAGGTAAGACAAGGATATTAACATTTATAATTCACCCGGATTTCCTCTGTATCCCCTGATATGTCACTGTAATATTATTAGTCACCAGTTATACAGTGGCATTAGAAAGGTGGTGGTGGATGGAGGATCTGGCGACATGTGAAGTCGATGCCTGTGGTGGCAGATGTAAATTAAAGGATTTGTGAGTAGCAGAAGTGTGAGTTGGGAGTTGTTGAGGGCGAGACACTGAGGATGAGGGGAAATGTCGGTCAATGTCCATTACGAGTTTCTCTTCAGTAACAGCTGATATGGTCTCTAGTTTTTGTAACAGAGAAATTGGCAGATAGTGATGTAAGAGATAGAAAGACATTGCCAGCTAGAAAGATGGGTAAAGATTAATAGATTAATTACCTCCTGAGATGAAGGGATCTGTACGGAAAAGAGGGTAGTGAAACTTTGGGGGGGATGATGTATTTCTTAGTCACACGTGTAGAAGTCAAGAGGGGAAAACAGCAGACTGGTAGTATAAGCATGAAAGGACAATAGATTGGTAAGAAGTTTGGTGATTGTTGAAATTTTAAGTTTTATTTGAAGTTGTGGAAGGTATGTTGAAGTCCCAGATGGGGTAGGTTGCATGAGTAGAGAAACGTGGAAGAGGATGAAGTGGTGAGAATGTCGATTGAGGTCATGATCAGAGGTGAAGTTTTCATAAGGGTTGAACACTGGGGAGTCAGGTTGCAATAAGGTGAGAGACTTAGTAACCTTGCTAGAATATACTCAATGTAATAGTGTATAATAGGCTTTTTTTTTTTAAAGCATATTTCGTTTTCTCGTAAGAAAACTAGGCATCGGCAATTTTGTGTGGGGTCTGCCGCTCTGCATTTAGAGGTCTGAGGAAGTAGATAGCAACAGATATAGAGCACTTAAGTAATTATCTGTAAATCTAACTAGGATATATGGAATTTTTCTGGCTATGTTGGAACTAGTTATTACTTTTCTAACAAACCAGCCGTATCCCACCAAGGCAGGGTGACCCAAAAAAAAAGTTTTTCTTTAAATTTAGTAATTTATACAGGAGTAGGGTACCAGCTCCTTGCTCCCGGCATTTTAGTCGCCTTTTACGACATGCATGGCTGACGGAGAAAGAATTCTGTTCCCTTTCCCATGGAGATTATCATCAAAGCAAAGCACTAAACCCACAAGGGTCATACAGCACTGCTGTTTGATCGAAGAAATTGTTTTTCTGTGACGGGGATGGAAGGTTCGTTTCATTTTAGTATTGTTTAATAGAAGCGCTAAAGCTGTAGGGATCATTCAGTACCTGGAGAATGTGAACCATTCTGGTTAGGGGAGGATACCTGGAGTTTACCTGGAGAGAGTTCCAGGGGTCAACGCCCCCGCGGCCCGGTCTGTGACCAGGCCTCCTGGTGGATCAGAGCCTGATCAACCAGGCTGTTGCTGCTGGCTGCACGCCAACCAACGTACGAGCCACAGCCCGGCTGGTCAGGAACCGACTTTAGGTGCTTGTCCAGTGCCAGCTTGAAGACAGCCAGGGGTCTGTTGGTAATCCCCCTTATGTATGCTGGGAGGCAGTTGAACAGTCTCGGGCCCCTGACACTTATTGTATGGTCTCTTAACGTGCTAGTGACACCCCTGCTTTTCATTGGGGGGATGTTGCATCGTCTGCCAAGTCTTTTG